TGGTATAGCTACATATCTTGTCCATTCCATCCACTATTATGTGCTAAAGTGACTGTCCATTAAGTAAAACAATCTTTTTTTACATTCAAGCTTACTATATTTCCTTTTCTATGAAGGCATTGCTCGAATGTTTGGACTAAAAGTGCAAAATTTTATTGACATATTTGTCTTTTTTTTCTTTTTCCAAAGACCAGTGGCATTAACTGTTTGTATTATTATTGCCATTGCCAGAGCATTTATTTGACATTGCTGGTGATTGGACTAATCTAAACTGAAGAGGTGGTGTTGTACAGAGTTGCTGAGTGGCTGTATTTTCTTACTCTCTTTTGCCACTTCAAATGGTTGTCCTGAGGTGCTCTCCTCTGACCACTTTTCACTTATTTAGATTGTGTCACTGCAACCCCCTCGCCCACCATTTCTCAGACAACATACTTTAACTGAAATTCTGTTTAAAAACGTCAAATGAACCTTGAAGTGCATCATATCAGATTTTTGCACTATTCTTTGTTAGTGTTTATCAGTGCTGTTTTGTTCAATGTGTTTCTGTTCATGCCATCAATTACTTGACCATGACATATATTAGGTTGCTTGACAGATAGAACCTCAGAAACATGTAAATACTTGAAAGATTTTTGAGATAAGTCCATCTCATACAGATTTATGTATCAAATGAAAAAAAAAAGATGAATGTCTGCTGGATGGTGTTGCCATAGAACTGCAGTGTGCACCGTATGTGCTCATCAGTCAACATCATGCCCTTTTCCCTCTGGAGTGATGACCATGAGATGACATCAAAAACACAATACTCCAATGAAATGCAATCAAACTGAAGTCAGTATGAATGTAATGTCTGTTAGAAAAAAAGGCTTCAGTCTAATATTATAAATATGTTAACAATGTATGTACATGCTTATTAACATGGCTTCAAAAGCTACCAAAAGACCCTGATAAAAGGCACCTTTGTTGCAGTGAATGCACAGCATGTGAAGCGTTTGATAAGACGGTTCACTTTGGGGAGGTGGTAGTGTATCTAGCATTTACAGACAATGAGCTCCAAGCAGTGTTATGGTTCTGATATTTGTGCTGTATAGCAATTGAATGAAAAAGTGAATTGTCATCTTTTTATTTGTATTCTGTGTATTTGTTCAATGTGTTTTAATAAATCTTCTGGATAACAGTAACATTGTGGGATTCCCCCCCGTGGTTAGTGTGCCAAATGAAGAGGAGAGCATGTGAGTAATAGACCTGTGAGTCGAAGAGGACTGGAGATTTAATTAACGTAAATGACTTTCTTTTATTTGACCTCACACACTACCTTGTAATCATTGTGCAGCGTCTTCCAGCACTATACGTCACAATCTGCGTGAGCCTGTGGTACAGTAAATGTGATTAGAGGCAGAAATAGAAACACTCGTAGTCAGTAAGGAATAGAAATAGCAGACAGACAGAAGCCATTCACGGAATATTCAGTCTTGTTCAAAGACAAAAAAACAACTACTTAGATTATGAACGACAGTTTGTGGAACTCTGCCACCACATTCAATTCAATTCAATTTTATTTATATAGCGCCAAATCACAACAACAGTTATCTCACAGCGCTTTTCATAAAAGAGCAGGTCTAGACCATACTCTGTGATGTTATTTACAGAAGCCCAACAATTCCCACCAAGAGCAAGCACTAGGCGACAGAGGCAAGGAAAAACTTCCTTTTAAGAGGCAGAAACCTCGAGCAGAACCATGGCTCAGGGTGGGCGGCCATCTGCCTCGACCTCTTGGGGGTGAAGGAGAGAGAGAGAGAGAGAGAGAGAGAGAGAGGGCAAGAGAGGGATGGAAGGAGAGAGAGGGGAGGGAGGCAGCCTACACAATATACACACAGGGGTACAGACAGTAAAGGTGATGTTGCTATAGACTAAATAAAAAATGGTACAGATATTTAAAGTAGTGTTAATCGTAATGTTAATGATTATAATAACAACTAGAACTGCAAGCAGTTATAAGCGGAGTCCAAGCCTCCTGGCGCAAGCCACCCCGCCCCCCCTGGCCCCACGGAGGGCGCGCGAGTCGGTCCGGGCGCTCCGCCGTCGTGCCAAATAAGGTCCCTACGTTTGGTGTTGATGGGCCATTCCAAACAGACGCAAAACGTCCTGCCTTTGAAAATTCCATAGGAATGTATGGGATTTAGTGAGAGATTTGAGCTTCGCTTTTAGCGCAACCTTTTGGCGGAATTGCACCAAAATTGTCATGTGTGATCAGGGCCCCATGGGGAACAATTGCCCCAAATTTGGTAACAATCGGAGTTGTGGTTGCAGAAATGTAAAATGCATGTAAGTCTATGGGATTTTTTCGAATAGCGCCAACTAGGGGCTAACTGTACCAAATTTTGCACAGTGCCTGAGGGGGGCATGACACATAAGGTTTTCAAGTTTTGTGTTGATCGGCCTTTCCAAGCCAGAGATATGTTATTATCTCTGGATATGTTTTTAGCGTTTTCGCAAATATTTGTTAGCTTGCAATTGGGCCGTTTTTTATCGGATCAAAATTCCCTCTACAAACTTTTATCGCCTCGGTCCAGAGATGGTCCGTGCCAAGTTTCGTGCCGATTGGACTTGCGGCTTCGGAGGAGTTAATTAAAATAGGTTTTCCAGTTTTCGCACAGAGGCGTGTCCTATACCATCGGAATCGGCAGCATCCCCCAAACATGTAGACATAAGGTTTATGAATGTGCAATGTAGTGAGGCGTAGTTATCCCGCAAAATGTCCTTTGGTTGAAAATCCCATTGAAATGAATGGGGTATTTGAGCTTCGATTATAGTGCCATCTTTTGGCCGAAGTGCACCAAATTCTCAGGTGTCATCAGGGCCCCAAGGGGAACAATTGACCCAAATTTGGTGTCAATCGGACTTGCGGTTATGGAGATATAAAATGCATGTAAGTCAATGGGATTTTCCCCCGTCTGCAATAACAGCGCCACTTATGGGCATATTTGGGTTAAGTTTGGTGCCTGTAGTAAGGGGACTATGCTGAAGAATTCGGCACTGGTTTCATGTCAGTGTGACTTGTGGTTATAGAGGAACAATTTTCTTGGATTAAATAGCGCCACCTAGGGGCAAGTTGCACGCAATTTTACACAGGCCCTCAGGGGGGCATCCCAGATTAACACTCCAAATTTGATGTTGATCGGCCATTCCAAAGCCAAGATATGATATCATTTCCTGTTAGTAGCGTTTTTTGCAAACGTTTGCTAGCATATAATTGTGACATTTTTTGTCGGATCAAAATTTCCTCTACATACTTTTATCAGCTTGGTCCAGATCTTATCCGTGCCAAGTTTGGTGTCGATCGGACTTGCAGCTTTGGAGGAGTTAATTAAAATAGGTTTTCGCGATGTAGTGAAAAAAAAGTTATGTGGAAATGGGCGTGGCCTATACCACGAGATTCAGCTCGATCCCCTGAACGCGTGGATATAAGGTTTTTGATATACGCCACTGTATGTGGGAATTACAGCGATTTGAATGTGCCAAAATTTGGACCTTGCTTGTAGCGCCCCCTAGTGGTCGAAGTGAGCAAATTTTTTCGCATGCCGTCGTCTGATGGGCCTGAACCTACCCAGTGAGTTTTGCGTCCCTAGCACTTACCGTCTAGGCTGCAGTAGTGGAATTAGGTGAAAGGAAGAATAAAAAAAAACCAAAACCAAAAATTAAAATCCGAGCGAAAACAATAGGGTTCCCAGCTCCACTGGTACTGGGAACCGCAATGCCTTGCATTCGCAGGTTCCCAGCCCCACTCGGGCTTACACCCCTAATAATAACAACGAGAATGATTACAATAGGGTTCCCAGCTCCGCTCGGCTTGGACCCCTAATAATAACAATAGGACTAGTAACAATAGTTGTAGCAGAGGGTGTCGAGCAGGAACACGGGGCAGCAGGCGACCCGCAACCACAGATCCAGACTCCACAGCTCCAGAGGCAGAAACACCTGCAGGAAGTGATAGGAGAAGAGAGGAGAGGGACGAGAAAGCACAAGACTAACAGAAAGGGGAGAAGTTGAGTTAGTAACATGCAATAATGGGATGAGGTTGCATACAGAGGGAGAGAAAGTAGAGGAGAGAGGAGCTCAGTGCATCGTGGGAAATCCCCCGGCAGTCTAGGCCTATAGCAGCATAACTAAGGGATGGTTCAGGACTCACCTGAGCCAGCCCTAACTATAAGCTTTATCAAAGAGGAAAGTCTTAAGCCTACTCTTAAATGTGGAGATGGTGTCTGCCTCCTGAACCCAAACTGGAACCTGGTTCTACAGGAGAGGAGCTTGATAGCTGAACGCTCTGGCTCCCATTCTACTTTTGGAGACTCTAGGAACCACAAGTAACCCTGCATTCTGGGAGCGCAGTGCTCTGGTGGGGTAGTAAGGTACTATGAGCTCTTTAAGATAAGATGGTGCCTGACCATTAAGAGCTTTGTAGGTAAGAAGAATGATTTTAAATTCTATTCTGAATTTTACTGGAAGCCAATGCAGAACAGGAGAATTATGATCTCTTTTCCTGGTTCCTGTCAGAACACGTGCTGCAGCATTCTGGATCAGCTGAAGATTGTGCTGCGTACAGCTGAGAAGTGTTAATGGACTTTTTCGAGCAGCCTGATAATAAATAATTGCAGTAATCCAGCCTAGAAGTAACAAATGCATGGACTAGTTTTTCTGCATCATTTTTAGACTTTTAGATTTTCGCAATATTATGTAGGTGAAAAAAGGCGGTCCTTGAAATTTGCTTAATGTGAGACTTAAACGACATGTCCTGATCAAAGATAACTCTAAGATTCCTCACGGAGGTGCTTGGGCCCCAGAACAATAACTTCAGTTTAATCTGAGTTTAACATTTTCTAATGTTAAACTCAGAAAATTACATTAGAAAATTAGAAAACATTAGAAAATTACAGGTCATCCAGGTTTTAACATCCTGAAGGCTCATTTGAAGTTTAGCTAACTGATGAGTTTCATCTGGCTTGATCGATAGAGTATCATCTGCATAACAATGAAAGTTTATGGAATATTTCCTGACAATATTGCCTAAGGGAAGCATATATAAAGTGACATATAAAGTAACATTGACATCATCATTTGTTTCAAATATGTAAAACACAGTCTACCACAACCTGTACGCCAGGTTTTATTTTCTACTGTCACTCGTGTACATGGTTTTATATGAGCTCGAGTGTGGGGGTTAGTTTTGTGTATTACCTGGCTGTGAGACAAACTTCTCCTTGGGGACAATAAAGTTGAAAATGGAAGGTGGGAGGTGACTGCTGTGCAATTAAATAAGCAACCCATGTATTTAAAGCCCAAAGCAATAAACCAAATCCAAACAAAAAGGGCAGTTAAATAGACAAACAACATTTTTCCAAACCCTGTATATTTTAGGGAGTGGGGGGTAAGTCCTCATATTTTATTTCTATTTTTGTTTGCATCAGTGAAACTAGCAATTTAAGCTTATCCAATCCTGTCATTATATTTAAGTTAACACAGTTTACATAGTCACCGCAAAGTTTGTGCTGTTTTGTCATGCAGAATATTCATTCTATATTCTTAGGTTTCATTCATTATACTCTTCATTATACTCATTGTGTCCATACTAGCATTGTGTCAGTGTTCTCATAGTTTTCAATATTCTCATGAATAATAGAATAGATCAGAATAGAATAGAATATGCAGCATATGATATGATATACTGTATAGTTTAATACTTGTGAATGAAGGAATAAACACTGTCAAGTCTCATGATATCATATCTCCAGATTTTAAAGGTTTAAAAAAAATACTGCTAATGCTTTTCTTACATGGCAACAGCAAACATTTTCATTTATACAGTCAGTGTTATTTCAGTGTCAGTGTATATTTAAATAATTGTAATTTTGCATGTGCAATGTATTATTTTGCCTTTGAAAATATTATCAAATGGATCACATATAATGCTACAATTCATTTGGCTACTCCTTTCAAATCTCTATTTTGTCCCTGTGTGTTGTTCATCAGAAATCAGTTGTCACTTTCTCTTTCAGCTATAAATGAGAAATTCATACAGCTGACTGAAGTACAGCATAAAAGACAACTTCATTCCCATACGGAAATGCTCTGAGGCAGAATTGCCCCTAATTCCTTTTGTCCAGCCCTCTTGTTCTGAGTAACTCGCCTGATTGGTACAAAAACCACCCCCTAGGCTTTTCATTGGCCACATGCTTGACTTTGTCACTCTGCCATTGGCCAGTTGTGTCTGAGAGCCCTCACCCTGCTTTGTGCTGCTGTCTGGGCAGCAGCAGGGTTCTGGAAAGTGGGAGGAGGGAGAAAACCAGTATGAGACTGGAGGGGCTGAGGGGGTGAAAGGACCCAGCTAAAAAAGAGAGGGACAGAGAGAGGAGATAGAGGGAGGAACAGAACCAGAGAGACGACAGAGGCTGAAGAGAAAGGGGAGGGAGCCAAGAGGGTTACCTCATCTAGAGCTGCTAGTGCACACGGTGCAGGGGAGAAGTTGTGGGAAAGTAAACAGCAGAGGAGAATTCCAATCTGTTTTCAGCCACTTGCAGCCCTCGCAGGAGACCATAAAGATGAGTGAGCTGGACCCGGCAGCATGGTAATAACTGAGAGTTTATGGTTGATTACCAGGATTAAAGGGTCACCAGGGAGTGCCTGAAGCTTCTTGAAGGACATACTACTGAGGACAAGGAGGTGAGAGGCATACATTTGTTGTCCTCCAAACACTTTCCCGCTTTCCTTCCCTCATTCTGTCTCTCTTCTCTCTCCCTCCTCACGCTCAGCATGGTTAGCATGTTGCAAAGACTGCAGCTTTGTCCAAAGGGGCCATTGATGGAGTGGAGTTGGGGGTGGGTGTGCTGGTTTGTGCCTCTCTGTCTCAGTCCAACAGCTATAAGGGGCAGCTGAAAGGACAAGGGAAGGTGGAGGAGGAGAGGATGGGAATGGCAGATACCCGTGTGGCCCTTTGGCAGAGTACACACCATCATGGACGATTAAACCCGAGTCTGACTGAGAGAGCCGGCGGGGCTACAGAGCGTGAGGCCTTGTTATGATAGCAGCAGTTCCTGAGACAGACTCCAGGAAGGATGAGTGAGAGATTGGCGGCTCATCCCAGACCCACACCTCTGGCCGGCTGTTTTTCAGCAGCACTGCACAGCTCTTCTACAGCCTCAGGCTATAAAAAGAGATTCCCTGGCCTGGGCCTGGCCTTAACCATTCCAGTTTGACGGTTGCTTCCCGGAGTACAAAAGCTCCTCCCAGGATGGATTTCACGCTGCCTCTATACTCTGAGCAGAATAAAGGGGGGAGACAGGGAGGAGTGGAGTGAGGGGGGAGCTAAGGGACCTTTGACCAAGTAATTTGCATTTTAAGCTAGGGCACTGTTTCTGCCTCATTTGCCGGATGTCCAAGTGCCTTTTTTTTGAAGACACTCCATGGACTCACTGTATCAGATTTTTTTGTGCTTATTCACAGTCTAGCACTTCCAACAGACATTAGCAATCCGTGCATGCATGGCCTGAAGCCACCACAAAGACTTCACTATCAATGGGAACCTTCTCCCTTTTGCCACACATTCATTCACTCATGGAAACTTACTGCACTCACGCAATCATATGTACACACATGCAAGGCCATGGTGTTCAAGTACACAATCGGCCATTTGATAGTGGTGACACGCCTGACAAATGTTTTCTGGTGTACTGTATTACACAATGACCACATCCCTCTGGGAATGTCAGATAATTAACTAGAAGGAGGAATTCTGGGATGTTTGTAAGTTGAGGCTTATCTACAATATTATTTCCTGTAAGCTCTTCCGATATGGACTCCAAGATCAAATAAAAATCACATAATCCTCACTTAACATCTTGAGCTTTGAGTTTTACATTGAATAGTGTGAAAATTTCATTTGGCCAATATTAAAAAGTATTGTGTGACACTTCCAGAACGCCTTGCTAACTAAGGTGCACAATAACATCAAACAAAAACTATGGCTCATGGCAACAAGTGAATGTAGGAATCCAATTGAGTCCATTCCCATGCATTCATACGCTGTTGGAACAGCCACCAGGGTCAATTCAGGGTTCAGTATCTTGCCCAAGGGCAAATTGTCTGTGACTGTTAACATCAGACATTTTAGATCTACGCAAATGTAGTGCAAATAGCTATTGTTCTTCTGTACTCTGTGGTCCCAGTTGTAGTTCTTGTAGTGATACTGTTTGTCTAAGAGCAAGATCAAGCTAATGTCTTCTCAGCACTCACAGAACTTTATCATAGAGCTTTGACTTGGAATGGGAAAAAGATTGAACTCAATTTGGACACTTTCATCTTCATCATACAGGATCATCGCACAAATTAATGTCAAGACTTTCTGCAAAATATTTGATCTTATTGGTGGTGAAATCTTATAGTTTTTGAGCTATGAGCAAACACTGGACTTGTGAGGCTGTCTATTAAAAAGTTAGACAGATTTTAATTAAATCGATCAGCTTACAGCCTAATGGGTAGCACTGTGACGTCATTGCAAGAAGGTCCCGGGTACAAACCCCGGTCGTCCCATCCTTTCAGTGTGGAGTTTGCATGTTCTCCCCATGTCTGCGTGGGTTTCCTCCGGGTGCTCAGGTTTCCCCCCACCATCAAAAACATGCTAGGTTGGTTCTCTAGTCAGTGTCATTTGCCACTGCATTCAATCTGGAGTTGGTCCCCGGATGCTGTACAGTAGCTGCCCACTGCTCAGAGATGGGTGAAATGCAGAGGAAGAATTTTGCTGCTTGGATGTGTATATGACAAATAAAGTACCTTTACCTTTACAGGGGCGCTATCCTTTCCAAAATAAAGCCTCCCCCCCAAAAAAGATCAGCTTACCCATTACTTAAAGAGACAATTAACATGATCAAAAAGCATCATCTGTTTACAGAAATATATTAAATGGTTACAAGTACCTAAGACTGTGAAAACAGTTGTATTAAGTCTTGTGTAGGCAGGGAATGTTTAAGTATTTGTTGCATTAGGACAGCGGTTTTCCAATTCTTGTTTGCATTGTACCCATGGACAACTATCACTGGATCACTGTGATGCTGAAGAAAACTTAAAAAGGGAGATGGGAGAAGGAGATTTGGTTTTGATATCCAGAGACACTGACACAGAACAGTAATTGTTGAGCAGTTGGCACTTTCTGTTACAGAATATATTAGTCATCTTTAACTTGTCACAGGCTGAAAAATTGTGTGCCAGAATTATTCAAAGAAATGACATGAAATGAAAAAGAAATGACTGTCTAACCTGCACATATATTTATTGTGTTGGATTCTTGATCAAAAAGCATTGTCTGGGCAACACATTCAGGACATTCTTATCTCTGTTCAGTATTTGTACAGTACAGCACACACAGGAGTTCAGTACGCTATTGTGCTTTGAGCACAAACGGCAGATGGGAGGTGGTGGTTGCTCCCACTGTGTCCTTGACTAATGTGACACCACCAACACATCACTGCTGTTGTGGACTGACACAACTGGAGCTGCTCTCTATAGCAGAGGGCATATGAAGGCCAGACTGGCTCCTGAATGAATAATATATTGCTGAATGTCTTAACAGTGGCAACATGATGGCAAACCTGAGGGAAAGTAGGAATGAACTATCTTGAGTATGCATAGATAATCCTCTTAACGTGTTGTGTTTACAGTGTGATATGATATTCCACAGAGCCTTTGGCACACAGTCTTCAGAAATTCTTTAAAGTGAAATTTTAAATATTCATAACGTTCATGATATATAATGCAATAGGCTTGGCTTCGTCTGTGTTCTAAAATCTTTGGTAGGGCAACGTTATGTTTAAGCAAATTTACAAATGTCTGTGAGCAGCCTCCCACTCAGATTGTTATGCCGTTTGACAGCCAAAGAAAGACATATTCCGTCTGTTCTCAAGGAGCTGTTTGCAGTTCCTAAATTGGCCGAGTCATACTCACATCTCTTGATGGGAGATCCTCAGGGAAGCTGAAGAAGGAAGGAGCGCCAAAGGCAGAATCATCTCTGCCTGGCACTGTTTGTTGTTGTCAATGGTCCACTGGTCTCTCATTGTCTGCTGAGTGTTTGTGTGCCATTTTCTCTAAAGGAAAGCCTAAAGTAGCGTCGCGCCCAGTGACTTTCTGTTAGATTTTCCAATGCTGTTTATTCAGTCTTCACCAGCTGCTGTTCACTGCCCGTGTCTGTTGATATATCCTACTGCAACTGACCAATGGCTGTGAGGTCTGTCTGCAGTTGGTTAAACATTGCACTCTATGAACTAAATATGCAGCCCAGCAGATCTGCAAAATCCTGAATGAAAGCTTTGAATATAGTTAGTGGTTAGGAAACTCTTTTATCTTCTGCTTAAAAAAACCCCCTGTCATTTAATTTTATTTTTAAGGCAGATTACATACTATCTGCTTTGTGAAATGAAGTACAGTACAACAGGGAGCTGAGATGGAATCAGGCAACATAAATCAGGCACCAAGTACACACAAGATCCAACTCCATAATTAAAGATGGCACAATTTGAATGGGAAGACTGTGAAGGAAATACAATTATACAAAAAAACACTTAATATGCAAAACTGCTATATTTAAAACAAGACATAATAAAACTTCAATAAGGTCAGAAGGTACACTGCAAATGTGTGACCTTTTGTACATACCCATGAGAGTTTATACCTCACTTTCCTCTGTACGCATAGGCCTACACCATACCTCCACTCATTACCACATTTAATACACAGCAGGAGTGTTTTTATAGCTCTATGTAGGTCAGGGACAGGGTGCGTAGGAGTTGGCTTCATCTCTATTCTGTGATGTATCCTTCAAGAATAGCTTTCACACAGCACCACTCCTGGAGCTCTTTGTTTTTCTAAGCTGAAGTCTGTTTGATGCCGTGTCCAAATGCTTTCCCTAAATGACACTCATTCAGAATACCTGTCATTTCTTTTCTGAGGTGGGTCTTTTAAGTGAAAAAATTTTGGGTTCGTGTTTTGTATTAGTGTTATTTAAAACTAAATCTTACATGGTTTCTATAATGTCCATTCAAAGAGGATGCTGCTTTCGTCTGAAAAATCCTCCATTTTCCTTTAAGTTCTATGAGCCATACTGTAGACTGCACAGCCATGGCCAAATGACCTGTGAGCTAATCAGTACTGCAGTGACGGTTGTAGAAACAATGCTTTCTTAGGCTGAACAGAAGTTTTTCCCTCCACAAAAGAATCATTGTTGATTTGACCAACAAGTGGGCCGACTGGAGAAACTGTGTTTGTGGTACAGCGGAGGCGGCTGGGTCCAAAGGCTGCAGTGGCATACCGTACGTGTAAACAGGCAGAGAAGTGATGTAGCAGTGTTTAATTTACATCAATTATCATCATTTAGTTCCACCGTAATTTAAACACTTGTTAAACAGTTATTGTGGCAATTCAGAATTCAAAGCCATCTCTTCTCTTGAACCTCGGTGCTTACAAACATTATGTCCAAATTCAGCTGTCAGCAAGCAGTAAACAACAATGACAGCTGTAACTGACATCATGACAGCCCTTGTATCTTAGTTAAAAAATAAAATGCTGACAATGAATTTTACAATCCGCAAGCAGTGTGTTTCAGGGCAGTTTTCCCGCACATGTTCAGTCGCCTCTGCTCCATGCTGTAATTTCCCCAAAGGAGGCCAACAAACTTCCCTATCAGGCCCAAGAATGTTCCAGCACTGGAAGCAGTTTGATGCTAATTAAAATGTAAAGCAGATGCTGGGTTCTGGAGTGGTAAACTAACATGTACAGAAACAGAGTCAGTACATCACAGGAAATTTCCATTTTATTTTGAAAATATGCTAACAACAAATTTAATTTCCATGATTACAGCTGACAATTTTACATGACCAGCTATTTGTTGAAGAAGTACCATGGGTCCAAAATCACTGCAAAACACATTATGTGTTTGCAACTACTATATGCCTGTACTGATAATGTTTCAATATTCTTTCATTAATTCCTAAAATGTCTTGTCTGCTGCCATTGACAAGACAAGATGAAATTAGCTTCTCAGATAATTGAGGTCTGTAATGTAAGGGCATATGTTTTCGTCCCTGGGTGTGTGGATATCTGAATTAATCTGCCACTAAGCCTCATCAGACTCTTTGATTTAACTAACAGTCTTTCCAACGACCATATGTCATGTTTATAGCATTTGGAGTAGTCACTCAATTTAGGATGTTTTTACACACTACAAGTATAACACCAAGTTCACCTGACTGCATTTTCTGAAGAACACAAGTCTGAGCATTTCAGTCTAACATTTTGTTGTGAAAACACTGTAGAGATAAGTTAATTTCAGTTCAGTTCAGTGTTATTTAGTACAACAATGAGTTTTATCTTAAAGGTATTTTATATGCGGCTGTTGCTGTTAAGCAGCTTTGGTATGTTTATGAAGACCACAGAACATTCCAATCCTTCTGTCCATCTACTTTTTTTGCCTTTATTAATTAATTTAATAATAAAATTTAATAATTTCTATCATATAAAGGGTGGAAATGTATTGTCAGTACTCTGGAAATAGGGCATGAAGGTTCTCCTGAACTCCTGAGTTCATATTAAGTGCAGATTCAGGAAAAAAGACTTGGTTTGTAGTGGAGCAATACTTCAAGGATTGCAAATCCCTGAGGAAAGAATAAACATCATCTTAAATTCATTATTATTAGAATGATTATTAGAGGATTAAGTGTTATCATTCTGTGATTAAAAGCCTTAAGCAACCTTCTAAAATATTTTTTGATGTGGTATCAATCATTTTTTCATCATAGTGTCGCTTTTTAACTCAAATGTTGGACACTTTGTCTCTTTTTCAGAGATTATGTCTACTGTGATGTCTCAGCAACCGCCAAAGGAGGATGAAGAGGAGGAAGATGAGGAGCGAGGGGAGGAGTTTCTGTTTGAGGACAGTATGGATGAAGAGAAACTTCAGGAGGACAGCAAAGGGACTGGTTCTGTTAGGTCTGACCAGTCCAAAAAGGAGGACAGACAGACATCAGACAGTGTTCCACAAACAGGCACAGACAGCACACAACTTCTCAGAACATCGCCTTCTGCTGGACAGGAGGATATTCCTACCAAGGATGTAGCTTCAATTTCTCCTCCAGGTAACACATTTTCAGGAATACTTTATATATTATTTTTTTTAAATCTGCGTTGATTTGTTCACTTTTAGAGATGAGAGAGCTCTGGGTCAGCTATTCAGGACAGTCTAAAAGTAGTTGACAGGCACCGGAAAATGTATAGTTTGGGAGAGGGATCCTTGCTGTGTTGCTCTTACTGTGGTTTCTTCCATTTTTTTCTGATTAAAGTTTTTTTTCTTTTCTGAATGGAGGGTCTAAGGATAGAGGGTGTCGAATAGGATACTATACAGATTGTAAAGCTCCTTGATGCAAGTTTGTGATTTGTAATATTGGGCCATAAATAAAAAGGACTTGAATTCACCTTAAGTAAAAGTAGTACCAAGTACCAAGTACCAAGATGTACTTTTGACTTACTTGAAAAATGTAACCAATTACTCATTAGATATTGCTGCTGATTAAAAAAAAAACTAATTCCTACAAAACAACAGAATTAGTCACTTGTGTGCATTGAGGGGTGAACATTTTTATTTCATTAAGCAGATATTAATGTATAAATTGAGCTACATCTTTGGTATATGTTTTTGTAATAAGTTATCTAAAGATAATGTTGGGAGGATGTATGTTTTAGTTATTCATCCTGAGTCAAGGATATGGTCTAAAGACAATATTAACAGAACAGGAGAATGCCTTGCTGTTTTACAAAGTTAAATAGGTTTATCCCACTCCACACCTCCATAAGGGTCCGTGTCCACCAAAGTGTTTTTTGCCAGCTTTTAAAAGCTGGTAAAAACGCCAGCAGTGTGACAAGGTGCTGAACGTTATTTCCGTGCTTGGGCGCTGGACGCCCAGGAGTTTTTTTTCCAGTCGCCAAGAGTTGAAAAATGTTACTGTGCTTTCAGACCAAAAGTGAAGCGAGCGTTCGGGCAGTGAGTTTACATACGAAGTCAATGCAAAGACGCGTAGAGCCGCGATTTCCTGTCGCGCGAAGCAAAACCTCAGCTCTTGGACCAAACGGTGAGATGTTTCCTCACCCACAAAATCTCATGAACCCATATAAGGCGAGTCCATCCTCTCTCTCTACCTGCTTCAGCCTTCCCTTCATACAGAGCAAGTACTCTGCTCTGTGCTGACATTTTTACATCCAGTAAAGTTAGCTGGAACTACTTGCAACAAATGTATCATATTACCCAAAGCAGGTGGAAAAAACTCTGCGCCTCAAAAACGCCTGCTAGCTTTTCAGAAGACCAGCTGGCGATTTCAGTGGATAAAAAATGTTTTGGTGGACACGGGCCCTTACTCCTTCATTACTCAGCTTAGCTCTAGCAAAGTCAGGTCAGTCAGCAAGACCGCATGACAACAACTTCTAAAATGTTTGTTTTCTGAATGGAGTGGTTCAGATCAATCAGGGCTATGCTAACTTGTTCACAGTAAAGTACAACGATAGCTGGAATAAAGTTACAGACACATTTTATGATTTTATGACTCACCGGGTAGTTCAACTTCCTTGCTTTCTATTCTCCAAGTAATGTCCGTTTTTTATGTGAATATGAAGTAGTAGTCCAATAGAGCTCTGGGTGCCAACTGATGCTAACAACAACAGTGGAACCGGATGTGCACGGAAGCTAGCTGGTGAGAAGCTCAGGTGAACATAAATCAACGTTGTAATCCCAAAAACTAAAGTAATTTAATAAAAGCAGTTTACTCCTTCACGCGAGAAAACGGCGTAGTTGTCAGAGCCTAATCCAGTCCGACTACGGGTGTTTATTTGTCCAAAAGCTGCAGCGCTGCTCCTGGCTCTGTCCTTGGCTTTTACCCGCAGTTTAGTAGCTTTCCACCAGTGGCGTTTCAATCCTCCGCTCTGCTTGGCCCTCTCCACACAACGCTCTGAAGCCATCTGTGACGTCTGGATAATCTCAGCGCTGATAGGCTATTGTGACTCACTTTCTCACTCGAGTTGAAAATTTTCAAGTCACTCGAAGGCGTTTGTGTCGCCGGCAGCCCCCCTCCACACCGCACGACAGGAAATCACGGCTCTCCGCGTCTTTGCATTGACTTTGGTGTATGAATGTTCATTCAAGGCCGGGAGAGGATCTCTGTTCCCCCCAAAAATAGAAACCTAGACTGTGTAAATGATTATGCATCCCTGTGCTCGGGGCCAGACGCCTGAAGCTGGCCCAGGTGGCAGGTCTGTGGACCAGCTGTATATGTGTTATAGTACTTCTCTGTTTATTCTCTTTTATTAATACATTTTTCAAAGACAACAGTTTGTTGTAACACAATTATTTGCTTAATCCCACACCAGCAACATACACAATCCACGACATCGGCCACCTTAGCTTCTCCCATGCGTTTGCAAAAGGAGGGGTGAGCTGTGGCCGAGTCATTAGTTGAAATTTGCAATCCTCACCACTAGATGGCAGTAACACCTACACACTGAACCTTTAACTTATGCAAGTGATGACATTATTTAGATATATTTTGTTAAATATTGGATCATGATTACTGATGCACTGAGCCATAGTAGGAGTATTTTAACATTGTAATCTTAGCTGGCAGAGCTGGACTTATTCATACCTTATGTAAACTTTATAGACTTTTTTGGTAGTACAGTGAACCGTATTAGCAATTAATCACATTTCACAAGCTGATGATATGTTTTGGATTAAAATTTTAGTATATAACTAAAGTATACTATATATACTATATTTCTATTAGTTATATACTAAAGTATATACTAAAGTATATAACTAATATAAATGTAAGTGTAGTAAAAAAGTATAATAAATATCACTGAAATTTAGTGAAGTAGAAGTATAATGGAGCATAAAATGGAAAACCTGAAATAAAGTTCAAAAATAAATACCGGGAAATTTAATCAAAGTACATAACGCAAGTAAATGTCCTCATTTCTTTTCCACCCTTGCTGATGGGTGTGACAGTTTTGTGTGACTATCTGGCTTAAAGTAACATAACATAAACCATTTTGTTATTGTAGAGACATGGGATAGTGGTTAAAGTTGCTGTACTGCAACCAAAAGCCCCACTCTCCATCCTCTTAACAGCACTTTCATCAAACACTGAACCAACTAATACTACCTATGTAGTCACTGTACAATAGTATGTCTGATAAAATGACTCTATAGTGTACCTCTTCTTTGGTTTCTTCTTTAGTTATCTGATCAGTTTCCCATAGCCACACTCTGTGTTAGTGACTTATCAAGTTGTATAATGTCTATTTAACAGGATGAAATTATTGCCTCAGGCAGACAGGCATAGGAGAGCAGAGTTAACTTTCCCTTAATTGGATGAAGCTATGTAGATATAAGTATGATATATTTACTACCTGGCTAATGTTGCCAAACAGGCCCTGGTAATTATACGCCCAGATAAAGAGTGAGATTTAAGTCTTGGAGAAATTCTGTTGGACAAAGTGAAGCGATTAATGCTTAATTAAAAAGCTTTTTTACCAAGTCTGTGTGTAGTAATCCGTTAAGTGGGCTGTGGAGATGCGTGGGGGAATTCTGGGCGTTGATAATAGTGTGCAGTGGAGGTCTGTTATGTAATCAAGGGTTGAGAGCAGCTAAGATTCAGATCCCTCCCTCACCAGATGACATGAGTTCACATGGTGGGAGGAAAGGAAATTGATTATAGCATTTGTTTAACAGCACTTTCCTTGTACATATGCCTTTGCTATGAAAATACAGTACAACCATGCAAAATCCGTGTAAACAAGTGTAATTTAGTTTTTGACGATAATGCTTTGGTTTAGAAAAGCTCAACTGTATACAAGAAGTATGAGAGAATAAGTAATTACAACACAAAGTCAGCCCCTAAAACAAAAAAAATGCATTTGTTATTTTTCCTTTGCTTTGGAATAGTTTGTCTAATGGTTGCTGTTTTTCCTTCTTTTTGACAGATGTTCCAGTTAATGCATCATCTAGTTGGTAAGTTTCCTATGATTCCAATCACAGTGTGGTGTATATTACCAAATAGCGGTGGAGAAAGTAAACTCAACATCATACCACATCACTGTTATGACATTATGTTGGAGATAATGTCATGCTCACACTCCATCCAAACACCACACAGTGGGTATGAGATACTGTGATGTTACGCCGCATCTATTTGTACAACATTTAGATGCCAGATGGCATGTCACACTCACAGTGACAAGAGATATAAAGTGATGTTGCTGATACAATTCTAGAGGGAAATCACAGGATTGCCCAATTCACAATGATGCATATAGTATAATATGATGAGCCCTGTTTATATGCTATTATGTGGTGTTAAGATGAATTTAATTAAAAAAGTCAGCTCATTCAATAAAAAAAACTAACATATTTTTTTCCATGTAATCCCTGCAAAAAGTGTGTTTTAATCTGTGAGATTTCTGCCATCACCCCAATATAGTTGAGGTGAGTGGAAATTAAATTGTGATGCTCAAAGCACTGAAAGATGACATTTGAATTTGAATCAATTAAGTGTCCCTATAAGCTTGCATTTAAAATACCAAGGAATGTGAACCCAAATTAAATGTACTCTTAAGTAGTGTTGTTAAATTTACGACTGCTGTGACATGAAAATGCATTGAAAAAGGTGAAATAGTCCAAATGTAAACTGTAAACTTAGGTGTCAGCTGGGACATTGTTCCTGAAAAGACGTTTTTTTCAAATGTCTTTTTCAAATTTTTTTAGAAGCAAAAATGAAACTCCATTCATCTTCTGTGTATTTGGGTGGTGGCACAAGTTTAAAGCCCCAAACACCTATGGAATACCCACAAAGGACTCTCAGGACTGTGTATTCATGTTTGACTGTGTGAGTGACAGCTCCCTCGCACGCCTGTTAGCTTTGCTACACGAGTCAGGGTGGGACAAATTACACTTTCGTCTTATTAGTAGATGGTGTCTGATGACCTGTGTTGCAGAGCCTTCAAGAGGCGCATAGCTCAAAACTTTGGCACAGAAAACTGAAACAAACTGCATGGTTCTGTGTTATGTTATTTTCTTTTCTTGTGATTTAGGTGAAATGACATCTAAAACTTAAAAATTTAGGAATGAGAATTCAAGTCAGGTCAAGTCAAGTCAGAATGATTGAAATGAGCCCATCACTGGTGCTGTCAGACAACATCTTTCATACAATCAAGAAGATAGTTTGCTTCAAAGCCTTAGCACGGCAAATGATAATGTGATAGTTTATTGATCCCTTTGAGGCAACTGCCTTTTTGCTTGCTCCTCTCTATAGGGAGGTCAGAAGTCAAAGTCATCTACAGTACAGAGCAGCAGCCCTGGAGCATTAGGAGTTAGGATACTTTAGCTCACTATCAGCGAGCTTTGAACCCATGCCCTCTATTCAAAAGACAGCTATCCTATTTAATGCCTTCAGCAATCGGAATCTCATCAGTCAATATAAAAGAAAGTGAAATAAACAGTGAAAAATTGTTTCTGTAAAGTTTACACCTCCTAGAGGGGAAAGGGGATGTGAATCTGTTTTGAACTGCTGGAACCACCGGATATTGGTAACTATACAAAAAACAACAACCAGAGACACACGAAATTATAATATACTATACAGGTTTTTACATACTTTCCTTTTTTGTTTCAAGTTATGAGATGAGCTGGAACGTTTTCAGCTAAAACAAAGTCCCTCTCCTGCCTGTCTGAACTGCATGATGAAGCCATGTAGAGACCCTGATTTTAGTGAAGCGTCCCCACCTGCGCTTCAACTGTAGGAAGTGGGCTCAGAATCCTGTACTGAGCACACTATAGTGGACTTCAGGGTCTGGATTCCTGTGGGCTTTCCTGTGCTGAAACGAGGCGCCTGTATTTGTGTACAGGTGTGAGCTTGTGTGTATGTGTACAGTATACGTTTCTGCAGTGTGTATATGTGTGTGCATGAATGCCTGCATATATGTGTGTGTGCTTATGTGCATCTTTGCGCGTGTGTGTGGGCTATAGAGTCACAGTGAGGTCTTGGCAATTTCTCATGCGGGGAGATTTCTGCTGAGTGCACATTTCCATTTTGTTTTACTCAATAGCTGCCTTTAAAAGAAGAGCTATCAATAGCACTTTCCATCATCAAGGTGTTAAGACTGTCAGCACATCCACCAGATCTGTCAGCAGTTTTAGAATAATATTGCTAAACTTACTTTGTGACTGTATATGTTTTTCTTTACTCTGCAATGACAGCACATCAGCACGTTACAGCTATTAGGTTCAAGGCAGCATTTCTCTCATGTGAGTTTTATGTGTGCTCCAGTGTTTGATGCCAGCATTTACTTCTGACTTCACTTTCTACCTCTTGACAGATAGTTTTCATTAAAGGCATTGCACAGAACCTCAGCAATGAACCGATTAACACAAAAGATACCTTGACAACGTGGCATTTATGAGTCTGTTTTGTGTACACAAGCTCTTAACTTAGAGAGTGTAACTTTACTTCAACTGTTTATTTTATTCCCCCCACCAAAGTTACTTTTTTCACCTTTTTACCCTTTTGCAGCCTTGCAGAACTTTACACTTTTGCACTTGTGAAGAAACTCATCTAATGTAGCTTACAGAACACATTTATTTTTCACAGCTACTTTTTTGAAGACCCCCTCACCCTGTTGTACTCACCTCAGTTGGGTGTGCTGTGAAGGCAAAAGAAAAAGGTGACACTGAAAGCATTAAAAACAAACAAAGTATACAAATAAAATGAGATGTCATGAACCAAATACTTTAAGTGCAATTAAATTGGAGTCTGTTATGCACTGAACAACTTTGGGCATTAACACGGCGTGCATCATGGGAATGGTTCAATGTGAGGAGTGGGCAGTTGTTTATGGAGGAGATTTATGACCTGAGGACAAACAGCGCTCCATCAGTATGGTCGGCACAATGCTTGTGCAGTTATAAAGAACAACAATGCTCAAGAGAGACCAGGGGGCAAAACAGGTAGAACTATGGCAGGTAGTATTGCTCTGGCACGGTAGCTGAAGGGAATAGAAACAGATGGAAGTGTGAGATTTGCATTCAGGCAGCTTCTGCTTTAGGCTGTGCTCTGCCCCAGGCAATGTCATTTGCATTGAAAAATGTTTCCTGCTTCTCTCCTTGAGCTATATGACTCACTAGGGTTTATAGGCACAGATAAGTTGTGAAGGGGTGTGTAAAAATATGCCTGGATCGATAGCTACACTGCTCAAATCACTCACACCTGACATGAATGCAGAGAGTCAGGCAGACAAGCTGTATATCGCTATTGTTCTGGCTCCACTCTTTTCCACACAAGCAATTTTAATGACAAGAGATCAGTTTATCGTAAGAAATATGTTGACAAATAGCTCTTCATTTTGTTTTCATGTGGGTCGAGATCATTTTTGTTGTTTAGATTGAGATGAATGATCCGGCATCATGGAGAATGCAGCAGAGTAATACTTTACAGTGTTTTGCAGCTTGACACCACTGCAAAATTAAATAGCTGCTATCAGTAGCTCTAATATGACATGTTGGCAGGGCATTATGTCTACTTCCAGATATGTACTGGGCACTTATTGCACAACAGGGAGAGTGTAGCACAAACATAACAAGAACTATGACTGTATTTTTATGAAGTTTCTGATGTTCAGAATGCTATACTTATAAATAGTATGAGGTTATTGCTTTGATGCACAACAATGGAGTTTTAAGTTTCTATATCTTTGCAATACATTCATTTCATCATTCAGTATTCCAGGTGTTCTTCAATTAACTTGTTTTTGATCATCATAAATCATTCTTTTCCTTTTTCCTTTTTGAGGAAAAAATACCCTTCTAATGCACAACATGGGTCAAAAATGACCCACATTCATTTCCTATATAATGTCATACAAGGCTGAGTGTTTCTTTGCTATATGTTTTGAAATTTTATTTCATTATTTAAAACATCGAGTAGTCATTAAATATTTTTGATTTACCCATGGGTCAAAAATGCACCATATTTTTTCACTATGGAATTTAAAAGAACATTTGATGTTTGTAAATGTTTGCTATCAGTAACATATTTGCTGTTGTCCAGTATTCACCTGCCACACATTTGGCTGCTTTTGCGTTTTACTTAAGAAAATATTAGATTTCTTGTGAAAGAAAAACACTCAACCATGCATTGAATTACATAGGAAATAAATACAGGTAATTTTTGTCCATGCATTGGAGGATTTAAGTACCATACTGTTGGGGTATAACAAATACATTCTCATGTAGTCATCTTGTCCGTTTTCTGTGTATGACACAGATGCTACAAACTATCTACTGTTATTTTTTTTGTCCTTGCCTGCTCTGGACATGCTTTCCTTTCTTTCTGACTCATAATACACTGTTCACCTGGTGCTGTACTCTACGAGTAAAGATAATGGTTTGCATATCATTGCATACTGTCTACCTCCATTGTCACTTCAATTTAAGGTCAGAGTCTGCAAGGCTGCCTCCCCAATAGCTCCAAATTACTGCATTTTGTGCACATTATTTTCCTGGCACGTCCTGTTTGTCTGCTAGTTGACCATCACTTTGAGTGGCTGCTGCTGCTGCTTCTGCTGCTGATGGCATTGCAAGTGTTGCTGAGCTGTTTAGCAGAGGGAGAGGTTTAATTAGTGTAGATGGGACTCGCCTACACGCTGGATCCTGTCACATTATCAGTAATGTGGGGGAGGACAATCCCTCACTGGCAGCATCAACACAGGCCATGTGATAGCTATGTCAACAAAGATTTTCCCTTGTGATGTCAGAGTCTGTTTTTAATAGCTGGTTTAGGGCACTTTTTCATTCAAAAAGCCAGCGGTGATTATGGTAAGCCGCAGGCATGACAGATGATTTAACAGTGCTCGGGGGCAAGTAGAGTAACTCAAGTAACAAGCAGTAGGTGTGATGATATATATATATATATATATTTATTATTTATTTATTTATTTATTTATTTTTAACACGTGGCCTTGCAAAAGTTCTTCTGAATAAGTAGGTCAGCACAACTTATCCCACGTACAGCTGAAGTTGTCACTATTAACACAGCTTATTGGGAAATGGTGTCAGATATTGTTGTCAGAAATAATTATGTAAAATAATCCACTCTAATGCTGAATATTTGAATATACCATTTCGACTTTAACTAAAGGTCCTGTGTTGGTGGAAAAGTTTCATGACCAATGGGCGGTTAAAGCCTACATAGAAAATATTTAAGTAGAAAAGCCCATACCTCCACCAAGGCTTAAAAATCCTGTGTGTGTTAATGTCCAAGTGTGTTATTTGGTGATGGAAAATGTTTTTGCATTGCATACAGAAATATAAAATATATAAACATGCAAAAATGTACTAGCTAGTTCTTATGAACTGCTGCCCATATGTAAAAATAGTGTTCCTAGTTCCAAAATAAGTTACCTCAAAGATATCCCAATGATTTGACAGCAGCAATATGTGTTCTGTCAGACTTTAGGGAGTGTGCGTTTGCATGCATGCTTAGCAAAGAACTATTTCGACCTCTACCTCTAGCCAATCTGCCTCCCCTTCCTCTCACTGAAATTAACTTGTAATGAGGCACACACTGCAGTGTTAGTTTAACTGAGCTAACATTTGGGTACCTTCCAGGGCCTCAACAACAGCAGCCGAGCCCAGTACCCCAGCTCCTTGTGTGGGAGAGGGGCTCCGGGGCCTTCCTGTGGCTTCAGCTGCGGGGACGTCGGCTGATTCAAGAGACCACAGCAAAGAAATCGTCAAGGAAAACTTTGGCTCAAGGGACACCTCTGAAGGTACAGAACTAAATTGTATTGACAGGGAAGTGATGCACCTTATATTTTAGATCAAGGGTTCAATTTCAGACCTTGCCATGGGATTCAGGCACATTTCGCCTATGTATTATAGTGTTCACATCACGGACAGATCTGGGCCTCCAGAGTTGCGTAAACAGCACTGTGGATCGCACCATAATGACATTGGCAATATAAATTGTGTACCAGTATTTTGTTAGTACTGCACATTGCATCTCTTGACCTTGATGAAAGGTGGCAAAAACACCATATTATAGGCCTACGGTCATCTTATGGCCCATTGATTTCTACAGTGAAAGAGGCCAGACACACATATTTACACAGACACATCCATGCGCTCAAACACACACACACACACACACACACACGTACACGCTCCATTCAAACTCATACCGACAAAATACACACTGGCTCACGCGCACATATTCTCTGCCGTGATTTGATTTCTACACAGACATGACATGAATCCAATTAATTCAGGATGAGGATCAATAGAGAACCATTTCCATGAGGGAAAATTGCTTTTGGATTTCGACTCAGTCAGCAGTGCTGCTGTTATGTGAAGGTGGCTCAGAAATGAGCGATGTAAAGAAGCTGTTTTTTATGTCCTAGTCTTCTGATGTATTTTCACACACTGCTGCCATTTTGAACGTGTACAGTATATTTAGACTGACTGAATGAATAACATTATATTAAACTTCTTCTCCTAGCTATCTAAAATTGTAATAAAGAAAGTAGAAAAAACAAGTTAACTAATTTTTGTTTTTATACACTAGACACCAGGAAATGTTTTGCATATGTATGACCCTGCCTTGGAGGGCAAACTTATTGATTGTGTTTCAGTTTAACAAAGTGTACTTTATATGGATCATTATAAATAATTAAGTATTTCCTGTTTGTAACGGCAGCCATGTCCCTTCATTCCTCGAATGTGGTCATGGCACATTGTGATTCGCAAAGGCTTTGCTGTGTTTTTTTTTCTTTCACATTTTCTACCACTATGACGTATTCATAATGGCAGTGCATGTATTTGATTGCCAGCGGTGTCAGTGTGACCTACGAATGAGGTGACTGGAGTGTCATTGTAGAGAAAAGTTAAAGAAAAGTAAGAAAAACAGAGAACAGAACTTCTGGTTTACCACATTTGAAATAACAAACTATGTTCCCAAGAGGCCTAGTCACTTTGCAGATATGCTGATAGTCAGGCTGATAGCCCAAATCCAGTTGTTTTCTTCTCTATTCTGAATCCTTTCTGAATGCACAAGCGTAGGAAAGTGAGCGAGATATAAAGAACATTTGTGTAGAGCTAATCCTCTTTTGTAGAAAAACAGTTGCTCTTTGTTCATCTCCTGGATTGTGTCCAAGGTTATTTCAAATTTTAGACTGAACTCTGCTTTATAATCCATGGCAGAATACACATCTCCAATCAGATTAATTGAAAACAGTGATTGTTGCCATTCAGGGCTTAAAAGAAAGTGTTGCAGACAAATCACAGTTTAAAACCAAATCAATAAAGCTCACTGAGCTAAATTAGGCTGAAACACTCTCAAAGCAGTTAATGACAAATCCTGCCGAGCATGGAGATAGAATGGGTCAATAGCTCAAACAAGCTGGATACAATCATGTTGTGTCACATGGACAAAGCCGTTATGGCAACATGCACAAGAGATGTGCAAGATTTCCCTGAGGAAGAAGACCTTTAAATGCAAATGATACAATATTATGTAAATATTCAAAGGCTTTGTAAATTCCTAACCAGGGGCTAGAAGATCTGGCGTCTTTTATCTATTCTGCGTTGCTAAAAGGATTCAGGCAATGTAGTTTGGAGCTGTGTATGCTTGTCTTTGTGTGTCTTGTTTTTGGTGGAGAAATGAAAAAGAATGCTCTAACAACAGGAGGTGCAGCTATCAAACAGAAATGGAGATAAAAGATGGAAGATAGGAACTGCTCTTTTTCTTTTTAAAAACAATGTTTGTTTACTTTGATTTTACTGATTTTCTTTGCCAGCTTTATGTGTGGCTAAAGCAGAGCCCCAGATGGTGGTGGCTTCAGAGGTGATCTATGATGACGTTCCAAGTGAGGACCCCCTTTCTCCTGATGAAGGTTTGTAGCTGCGACAGAATCGTGTTTGTTTAGGATGGTTGTTCACTCATGATTCTTGTAGAGCTTCTGATGTGTAATGTTATTGTGTGTTTAGCAGATATGATCTACGAAGATGTTCAGAGAGACAGTGGTCCTCTGGATGCAGACAACGGCTGGAGCTCCAGCGAGTTTGAAAGCTATGACGAGCAGTCTGATAGCGAGACCAAACTACCAACACGGAGCAAGGTAGCATTGCCGTGGGTGGATGCATGCCTGATGTGTGTATTTACCTCACACAAATCATCTGTTTATTTTAATGGCATCATGATGGGACAGGTTGTTTTGGTTGGTTTCCAGCACTTAAAAGATAATCAAGGAGAATAGTTCATCTCCTGCTCTTCTTGTGCAGTTGTCTTTATTAATGCATAGAACTGGAAGGAAACTATAAAGAACATGAAAAATGTATAACAGGCTGTCTAGGCTTTATACTTTCATTGTGGTATGAAAGTAAACAAGAGGCATTTCTCTGTGAAAAGGCTCAGATCTCCTTGCCTCTTCTCTGCTAAGGATGTTGTTCGTCAGTGTTGTGCAGCACGGCCACACAGTGTCAGTCTTCCACATGATGGCACTGTGTCCACATTCACATTGTGCTGCTTTTCCTTTATGCTTTTCCAGCCTTTAACGTGCATGCAGCGTTGCAGGCACTGGGAAACTTTGGAATTATTCTGATGAGTTGAATCATTATTAATATATAGATTTATACCTGCCTTTACATATTTTTACATATTGAAGGTGCTTATGTATGGATATAATTTCATCCAAGAAAATCCAGTTTTAAATCAGTGCTTTGAGAAACGAGGGAAAGCAAAAAAAAAAAAAAAAATAGTTGTAGTGGGACTTAAAATTAGTTGCTTGGGTAATTACAGGAAGGTGTGGTGTGAAAATCCCCCAAAGTTCTCTCCACTGGCCACTGAACAAAAGGAAGGATTCAGCTGCACTGGTTGAACAGTTAATGAAGAAACCTTGATGATTAGAAACCAGCAACCCTTTTCAGCTTGCATAGCCTTCATCAAAAACACATTGTTTTTAATTAGTCTCGCCTGATTAATTTTTCACCAAGTGTACCTGAAGTTCTCCTCTTGTTCAGTTCAGTGCTCAATTCGAGCTGCATGGGAGAGCTGCAACAGCGTTTGCTTCTTTAATATCTACCCTAAACTGCCTGCACCCCTCCTCTCACCTTTGTATAAATTAGTGTCCATTAGTCTCATACAAAATAACCCCTTTGACCAAAGCAGTGCTCCAAGCTTTCACTCTCTATGCTTGTGATTAATACCCAATGTTGCGTAGCTTGTTTTGCCTTGATCACTTTGCCTCCATTTCCCTTTTCTATTTCCTCTCCCCTACTTTTTTCTCCTCCCTTTGCCTCTTGTGGCTAAACGCGACCTGCCCCCATGCCTCGCCTCCCACTGTCCAACACCTGTAGCTCTCTCCTGAAGTGCGTCGGCTGAGGGAACGATGTGCCAAGACCAAACGTGAACTGGCCATGAGGCTGTCTGGCAAGCACAACTATGACATCAAGGTATATCTCCAGCAGCAAGTGAACACAGCTATATCACACTGTTTCTTTGCAGAGCTCAAATCACTCTGCTAGATGTTTGCCAATGGGATTGATGATCACCCAGAGCTGAAATATGCTGTGTTGTATATGCTCAGCTGACTCAAAGGCTTAATTGACTCTCTGCACCATCCTTCCCAGCTTTCCTTTGGACTGTGACTTTTCTTTGAGACTCTCTGTCAGTTTCTCTCTCTTTCCCTGCCTGGTTTAATATCAAGACGCAGTTATGGGACACATGAATTATTAAATAATATTCTGCGTATTTACTTCCATAAACGCCAGTGCAACTTGTCCCCAATCAATGACCTACTTTCCTGAAGTAGCTTAATTTAAAAATACTACCACCCTTGGTATTTTTGGTCTGTGGACTCTGGTTGCAGGGCCTCTGTGTTGCTCAGGGTGGAGTTTGCGGTCAACTGAATTCTCCCACACTGAGCACTGCAGCTCTGGTACTCTGATGTGGAGCTCACTCTGTTACCATAATCTGTCCATGATATGCTCATAGACTCTGATTACAGGCTGTACAGCGACCCACAGGGAGTCGCAGATGCTGAGATTCATGATGAACCCACTGAGCGCCACTTTTCTCCATCTCTCTCCGGAGGAGGTTATCAAGGCTCCACAGCATGGCATTTTCCTCGTGCTCTAACGCTCTTTCATTGTTTCTGTCTACTCCTTCCAACCAGGTTCAGCAGCTCATGAAGGCGGCCAGAAGCGGAACGAAGGATGGGCTTGAAAAGACCAAAATAGCCGTCATGCGAAAGGTTTCCTTCCTGCAGAGAAAAGATCAATTGGGTAATGCAGGGAAGTCTGAAAACTTAAATGTTGGTCAGCTGGCTTTTTTGGGATGAAAGTTATACTGTTTTCAGTAATGTGTATTGGTTATGAAGTTTGGGTTTTGTAACTCCTCACAGTTGACTCTTTGAATTATAGGCAGTTGTCTATGTTTAAAGCTAGCCAAGCCAAAGCAGTGTTCATGATAGAGTAGAAAATCTTACTTTTTACTTTATATAAATCCCTTCAGGGAGAAATGAAAGCACTGTGAAAAAGAAATATCTCACTGATTATAACTATAATAAATAAAACAGACAGACTTTCTCAGTTTTAAGACAGACGATGTGGTTGAGTAAAGTTTTTGATGTGTGAGAAAGAGAAGGATGAAGCAACTCTTGCGGTACAATATAGGTTGTGTTATAGAAACCAGTGGCTAACAATAGAGAGAGATTAGCATCCATTAATGGAGTATCGAGCAGCTCCGTAAACCATAGATACCAGACCCACGCCTCAAACAAATCTCAGAGCCATCACAAAGAGGTAAGGAGGCCAGTGGTGCTATTTTTAGGTGTTGATCGGGGGAAATCTGCATGGCATTATATTTCTTTTCCACCAATCCTCTGTTATCATTCCAAACGCTTTAATTGGAACAGTGGAAGCTTCTGGTATCTATGTCTTTATGGTTACGGGTGAAGTGAGGATTTTTTTTTGTTTGAGTCTGTCGAATGTCTTTGTGCCAATGCAGAGATGAGAATGTGTTGGATCGTGTTTTTGCAGACACACTTCTGTGTGCCTCCTTTATCCTACAGAGATACAGTATTGTTTTGAAAGTTTTTTTCATTTTATTCCGAAGGCCTCTCTGCCTCTCTCTCTCATTCCTTTCTGCATTGCTCTGTCTGTCTCTTTTCAGGTAATATACTTAGTGTGTCGCAGTGTCTCCAGCTGCAGTGAGATCTGAAGGCTGCCTTTCTGTTGTTCCCTCTCTGTCTCATTCTGTCACACATGCTCTCTCTCTCTCTCTCTCTCTCTCTCTCTTTTTTTTAACCTTTCTGTATCTTTGTCCTTCATTTCTGAATGTCTGCAGAAGAGGAGGATGATGCAGGATACCTGGATGTGGCTGTGTCAGAAGAGAAACATCCTCCTCCACAGCTGAGCCCCATGCCAGAGGGGCTGACCAACCACCAGGTGCACCTGACAGTTTCTGCAAATATTTTGTCTTATTTTTTCCAAAATAAATGGAGCCTACATATGTACCGTACTTAAAATCTAGCATTTATGTGAATATATTTTGTACCCAATAGCCTTGAAATAAGGCCTTAGGCTGTCATGTTAAAAGTATTAATTTGGTATTTCAGCATTTTTACATATTTATATATTCTTTAATCTCTTCCTCCTGTTTGGAAAAGCAATGTGTTTTATGACAGCTAGAACAGCCACTTTCATGTCATAGGATATCCAAAGATTCAGCATGGAAGCCTTGTTCAAAGAGGCCTTCTCTTCTTTGAGTTTTTTCCTCCAAACATCATGATTACAGTGCAATCCATCAACCTGTGCCTTGCTTGACTGAAAGCATACCACACACTGAAGCCCCATCATGTCCTCTTATTACTGGATTTCCTGACTGGTCTGTTGTCTATGCAGGTTGTCAGACGCCATATCCTCGGCTCCATCATTCAGAGCGAGCGGAGCTACCTGGAGTCTCTCAGGAGAATCTTGCAGGTGAGCTGTTAAGTCTCTTTTGTCCTCCTCTGCCACATGCAATGTCTTCACCATTTAGCTATCATGAATTACACAGAAAAGAGAAGCGGTGATATCCATCAAATTACTAAGGTGTCTCAGCATAAATAATCCTGATAAAACAGCCATCTCATTTCTGTGGCATTGTGCTGATGCTAAAAGAGAGACTGTCAAGCTTGCGGAGGATGGGTTGCAATCCCTCCTCTTTAATCTCTCTTTTTATTGGGGAAAAAGAGACTTGTTATCTGCTTATCACAAAAAAATAAAAGGTGTGCCAAATGAAATGGAATCAGCAGCAATCAATGGCTGCCTTATACACCCCAAAATCTTTCACTGTCAAAACACAATGTGCTACCCTTGTTATCGAGTGACATGATTACGTATGATACTTGGGGAGGTTTAGCTGTTTTCAAAGAGTCCAGCCAAGTGATAAATGCAGTGTTCTCCAGACAGATAACATAAAAAGATGAAAGGCCCCAAGCAAAATTAGACATTGAGGGTTGTAACTTTCAATATTGCTGTAACACAAATTGCACAGTTGTTCATGTTGTGCTGCCTGGCCATGGTTCTTCTGTCGATGATTCATTTGCTGTGATGGATTTGCGGGGATAAGAACTACAAAACATAACAAATGACCACACTGTTGCTCAGATAGATTAGATTTTTGGTGTTAAAGAGAATTTGCCATGTTTATGTGGATGTTCAATCAGTGTTCATGGTAAATGTTGTCATTTGAAATAATTAAATTCCTCAGTGCTTGCTATATTGACCAAGAAAGCTTAGTTCTCCTGCTTGTGGATCTGTGCCGGCAGTGCCTATATGTACCAGTATGCATTGCGAACAAGCTTCTGACGCCCACCTAGCAGGCTTCCGTGTAACAACAATGCTAACACTGTAGTATACGTTCTACAAATAGCAAAAGCAACCAAAACAGTTACTGGCATACAACTTATCTCTTGATTGAGCATCCAACAAACACACTCCCCACATGTTTGTTGGAACTACTGCCCATGCTGAAATTTAATGCAACAGAAGGATTTAGTTTCTATTGGCATCGAAGGGCAAAGCAACACCAGTCGCTGTTTGCTTCTGGCGGCTCAGGTTTTGCTTGTCCCTGCCAGCCATATCCCTTTGCATTGCTAATGCAGCCGCAGCCTCGGCTTCCACTGTATTTCTTTGGATGTATACGCTGGCTTGAATAAATATGGCTGAATTTCCAAGCCAGCCAAAACACTGTAATATGCATCCTTGTCCATAACGACCGCTGCACTCTTTAACTGTTGGAAACATAGCTAGTTTGCAATACAAGCAACGAGAGCAGCATCTCGAGCATGCCCCCTGACAACCCAAAGGCAGAGACTGAAAATCCAAGCTGAAATTGCCTGTAGTTCTTCTGTGCCTCCAATTACGTCACTATGATGGTGCCGTTGCTTGAAGAACAACAGATTTTGCAGCAGAAAAACTCAGCTTTCTCCGTCAATATAGCATGCTCTGAGGAATATACTGTATATGCTTCAGTTGACTATATTTACCATCAACACTGATTGGACATCCAAATAAAACATGGCAAATTAGTCTTTTCATCTTTTACGTCTGGCTTGTGCACAACATTATCTATACTTCAGCTTGTTCAGATTCAAAGAAATCATGTTTACTGGCTTCCACAAAGAATTTTGTCCACAAAGAGCCTGTCAACATCATTTAGTAGGTTATGCTAATATCCCAATGAGGGCTGACTGAAGAATCAATCAGTGCGTTTTCCACCATGTTGCTTTTGTATCTGTAACTCTGCTGGGAGCTACTTTTTGCCATTATCATTCTGGCTTTTATGATTACAAGTCACCTTGAGTTCTGAACATGTTTGATAGTGGAAAATGCTGGGTGAATCCTTTGGATTGATGTGCTTCCAAGCACAATGACAACAATTCCTTAAATTCATAGGATATTTGTCTGTTAGCCTTCAGTTGTCTTTTTATGCTGCTGAAAAGAAGATATGCTTAAGGAAGGTGGACTGCTGATTCATCTTAAAGGGTAATTTTGGTATTATTCATCCTCTACCCTAATTTCTCATGTTTATGTAACGTGATTTTTCTGGACAATTGTGCCCCGTCAAAGTACGTCCACTAAAGTGCTTGTTTTTGCCACTGACAGGCTCAGGTTGTTATTAGTATCTGACAACATTATGGAAATAAGAGATAGACTTTTTTTTTTGAGTTTTCTAATTGTCACAAAAGAAAAAAAAAACATCAACAGGTCAACAAGGTATACAGTCAAATAATATTACACAAATCCGATACATAGATAGGTAAAATAAATACACAAGAAAAGTAAATACAAAACTAATTAAAAACACACACCCACACTCCGAAGGATACAAAATCTCAAGAGGCTTACAGGACAAAGACAAATCCAAAGGTTCCAGTGTAGTCAAATACTACTAAAGGAACTTCCAAGGAGCCTTCTTGTAAGATGATGGTAGACAAATCAGGTTCAAGATACTTTAGGTAGGCTTCCCAAACCCTAAAAAACAGATCCTATTTAGAGTGAAAAGCGCATGTAAGGTATTCCAATGGAAATATAACTCTTTGCCCAACTCTGAAACCCATTATAATAGTATATTTTCTGGCTGCAAATGTAAGTATATTAAATAATCTTTTGTTAGCTGCTGTAGTTGTGTGTTTAGGTCCAAATCAATCAATAGCATGAGTAAGATCCCTTTTGTTTAACCAGGAACAGTCTCTATATTGGTTGACAAAAATAATATTTTTGCACAGAAAAAGTACTTACCCCCATACACATACATATGCACATATCAACAACAATTTTCTCTCATAATCTCACCAGGAATACCACAGACCATTGATGGAAGCTGATCCACGCATCCTCAGCCCAAGGAAGATCCGGCCTATATTTTACCGGATCAGGGAGATCACACAGTGCCACTCAATGTTTCAGATTGCACTGGCGTCACGTGTGGCTGAATGGGACAGCAGTGAGAAAATTGGAGACTTATTTGTTGCTTCGGTTAGTGTGTGTGCATGTGCATGTTTTTGGTATGTATTTTCACATGTGTGAAATAGAAATTCAAATTGGAGGCTTATTAGCTGCCTTATGTGTGTATGTGTTTGTGTGCAATTGTTTGTTTTTGTCTAAAATGCAATCAAAGACTTGCATTCTGGGTAAAGGCATGTTTTTCTTGGCATTTCTATCTAACTTTATAACACAAGCTATACTACCAGAGTTATAATGAGCTACAGGTTTGATTGAGCAAACAGTGATAGTTTACCCCAAACAAGGAATCAATTACAATGATGAATATCTCCACTGCATCCAATGCCCTCTGGCATACGTGTTTACAAATTTTGGCACTAGAATAAGTGTTCAGTGTGAGTTTCTACAGTGTGCTCATCTGTAAGGTCCGCTCATTATTTGCTTATTAGAGGCTGATCTGACCCTTGTCTTGACTGGCCATTATAGTGCTGTTCCATTGATATCCTAAGACCTACAATCGAATGAGGCCACACTGAAAAAAAAGGTGCTGGGACCATGTACTTCTCGTTGAGCTGGCCCTTTTTCATGTAGCAATGAATCTGTACCTGCGGGGCTTGTAGTATGTGAGAGGCAACATTCTGAAGGAGGGTACGAGCAAAGAGGTTTAATTCCTTCATACGATTTGCTAATTTAGCCACCACTCTTCAAACTGCCACTATCAGCTGCCTGGTGTGGGTTTAATTGAGGAGAGAGAATAAATGTCTATCCCACACAGATACAACGCCTCCCACACACACACTCTCACATTCCGCCACCTCATTCCTCTTTGCCCAGCCTCTTAAATGGCTCGTGAAGGGTGTTGCAGTAACCAGGATGGTAAACAAACCAATTTCTTAAAGTACTATACTTAAATAGCCATTTTCTAGCCTCTCTTTACATTGAAATCACTTACGGGTCACCCTGCAAACAGCATGGTTAGCCAGACATTCAAGCTGTCAGAAGAAATTACATGACTGTGTTGATGCTGGTGTAAAGACAAAATAACAAAGGCCTCACAACAGAGCACAAGATGCTCTTACTGTTGGGCTGTTCATGATAAATTCAGATAATTATGCTTGTTTCTGTTTCCACAGTTTTCCAAGTCCATGGTGCTGGATGTATATAGTGATTACGTGAACAACTTCACCAATGCCATGGCTCTCATTAAAAAGGCGTGCATGTCCAAACCAGCTTTTCTAGAATTCTTAAAGGTGAGCATCAGCCCTTTACAATATATTGTGTTTTTCCCCTTAATTTTCAAATTAAATTAACTTAATTGTGTTTTTTGTGTGCTTTTACCTCACCTCAAAATGCCACTAAAACCTACACACGGGTCCTTTAATTAGGCATCATGAACACGGAAAAATAGTGCGATAGTGCATGGAGGGTGCCAAGAACTGATTTAAATGTGCTGAGTTTAACAATTCCCTGTGCACCCAGCATTCATGCATGAGTATGACCTGGATCATTGAGCTGTAATGCTGATTTACAGAACCAGATCACACAGCTGACAGCCCTGCATGTTACTCCAGAGAACACGTGTCCCTCTCTTTCTGTTAAAAGGTTCCTCTGTCTCTCACTGGCAATGTGTGTGACAAACCAAATAATACATTGGCTAGACACAGACTGGAAAAAAACACAGAATCAATGATAGAGTCACATACAGTGTTGCTTTAAAAATATTGTGGAGGCGCTGACTGCATGCACATGACCATAAGCACGCAAGGAAGACTTACAGCGACGGAGACTATTATTTGAATACATTTAGCAGATATTATGAGGTAATATATTCTTTATTTTTGTCAGAAAAATAAAGATCGGACAATACATAAAAATCTCAGAATCATTGTGTCCCATTAGGTTATTATTATTCAGACCAATAGGGGTGTTAGAAGTTGTGTATGTACATAATGTACAATGTAGTGTAACATCATCCAGTTTAGTGGTGAGAGCTGGTGTGGAGGCTGCTGGTACTTGGATGGCAGAACCCGCTGTAGGTGTCATGGGCCTAATCTAGTTCACATCAGCTGTGGGGGGAATTGTCGACTTCAATTCAGTTTTATTTATATAGTGTCAATTCATAACAAAAGTTATCTCATTGCTCATTGAGAGAGAATACACAGTAGCACAGAGCATAGAGATGTAAATAATATTAATAATAGTGGTAATAATACAAATATCAATAAAATAATAATAATAATAATTACCACAGGCATGCCGTTCCACGAAAACTCACCGTTGTACAACTTTTAATGGTCAATGGGTTTAGACTGCACAAAAATCTGAAGTCGGTCCGACTAAATCCATAGGAGGAGTTCATTAAAGTACAGAGTGTGTAAATCATCCAAAAATGACCATATAATTAAAAATGGCCGACTTTGTTGGGTTTAGGGCATCGCTCCAAGGTACGTCCGGAAATGATACATGTGACACAGAAATTGAACATAGGGGCAGCAGGCAAAAAGACCAGCTGAAAGCAATAGAAGGAGAGAGACGAGAAAGCATAAAACTACGCGAGAGGGAGGAAGTCGAGTTAGTAACATGCCTTAATGATATAAGAATGTATACAGGTGGAGAGAGAGAGAGGAAAAGAGAGGAGCAGTGTAGGCCTATAGCAGCATAATTAAGAGATGGTTCTGGGCTCACCTGAGCCAGCCCTAAGCTTTATCAAAGAGGAAAGTCTCAAGCCTAAAATGTTGAGATGGTGTCTGCCTCCTAAACGCAAACTGGGGCCTAATTCTACAGGAGAGGAGCTTGATAGCTAAAAATCTCTGGTTCCTATTCTACTTTTGGAGACTCTAGGAACCACAAGTAACCCTGCATGCTGTGAGTGCAGTGTTCTAGTGGTGTAATATGGTACTATGAGCCCTTTAAGATATGATGGTGCCTACTTTGTAGGTGACAGACTTGATAGGTCCAATGGCATATCCAGCCTTGCTCATTACCCCTTTTTCTTTACATCAAAAGTGTCAGGTGTTTAAACCCCAAATTAACATAAGGCAATTCCATCAGTTTCAGCATACTGGTAAATGCTGAGGTTTCTTGCTATGCTGTTAAGGTTGCTTGGCAACAAATTCAATTCTACTCAGTAAGGTAGGTGACATTGCTAGAAATATATCTTACAGAACACAGTAAAGTGTTCATTAATTGTATATAGCTACTAAATGTAGTATGTCTATTGCATTGTAATTTGTATCTACATTAGAGGTATTCATGTATCTAAAATGTTTGACTCCATCTGAAATGGAACAGTGGAAAACCTGACATGCATAAATTAATTAATAAAACAGACCCTATCCAGAAGGGCACAGAGAACTGTCAAGCTCAGTCCGAAATGACCTGAGAATAATAAGACTTGATCCAAAAACCATTAGCCTGAACAGATCCAAACTGAGAGAGAACACCAACACTGGCAGTAGCATGATCTGCCACCAATTAACATCAGCTGCACTCGAAAACAATAGAATTGTAATTTCGCCCTGCATTTCACAGTTCAATCTGCACCTTGCCTCAAGGAACAATTTTTTTCCCTGCAATGATCATCAGACATATTGACACACAGATGGCAACACAACAAGACCCTACCTGACCTGATTAGACTGAATATAATGTAATGGACCTGGTCTGACTCAGGTTTTGTTTACTAGGAACCAAGTGGACCCCTGAAACCCTCTAATTTGAACTTCTTCAGTTTCCTCAGCTCTCATGGGAGCAGCCTTGCTTGCGGTTGTCAGTGCCACCTTTGCCCACTTCAGCTCCCAAACTAACCCCAAGCTGTTGGGTGCCTTCTGGCTAGTTACATTAGATAACCCACTATTCCTTGTGTCCTTTGTGGTGAACCTTTGGTTCCCAATACATTAACAACTCCTGGCTGCAGTCCCTGATCCCCGATTCTGCTTGTCACTTTTTCTACTTGGTGGTCCTACACCTCCACCTGAAAAAGACAGATGGTGAAATATATCAGCCAAGGTGATCCTGCTGTTGGTCTAGGCTCCAGTGGTGGGTGGAAACATGACTCAGTTTAGTGTTTCAGATTGGTGATAATTACAGGAAAGACCTCTCTATCAATAGAGAAAATTCTGGCCATGACCAGAGATCAGTCAGGTGAACTACTGCTGCTTTGATATCATCTCAGGCAGTGTTATGGTTTTAGACACTCTCTGTGTTAGACAGGTTTGACTGAAAATGACTACCCTCCTTACAAGAGAGATAGAGAGGTTCTCCTTAAAACCGTTCTCACCCACTCAACTGTCTCTCTTCCTGACACTGGATCTAGCAGATTAAAATAGTAACTTGGAGATCACTGCCTTCCTATCCTCACCTGTGATTTAATAGTTGGGTGGCTGCTGCTGACTACTGTTATCTCCTTGTAGTGATTGTGTATAACATGTTTTCCTAAATTGGTGTTTTTACAACAATAGGGCTATTCAACTAAATTGTTCAAGGGGCCACCTTTTCAGAAAGCTAGGGCCCAGGGGGCCAGACATTTTACTGAGCTATTATTGTCTTTATTTATGTACACTTTACACAGTGCTCCACCATATTTTCGAAACCTTTATTTTGTTACATTTCAAAATGTGCCTCATTATAAACTAAAAAAGAAAATAAATGGCCCATCTTTAAGTAATTAGGCCAAGTACTTAATTTCATTCATATTTTAAACAAATATAATTTGGTTGATTTTGACATCTCTTACTGAGCTCCACAACAGTATTTCCTGTAAACATGTATAATCTTTCTTGTTTTCTGCCTACATCTACTCCATCTTCAATGAACTATTTCACATATTTTAAACAGACAGATCATCTAACTTGCACCAAATCGATTTAATATTTTCCGGTTCTCTTTAACTAGCCTACAAGACTATGAGCTAGTGATGAGAGAAATTGCACATCTTTGACTGGGCAGTGGCAGTGAATGCCGGTTCATATGAAGCGAGGGCAATCTGCAAACAGTGATATAAATGCTCGTTTGTCAAGGAGGCAGCTGGAGGAGCTGGATTTGCAGGCAACAACAGCAGCTTGCAAAGGAAGGCTTTCGTCGTCAATAATGCATGTTTGTGATTGGCTATTGCAGCACAGGAGTGCTTTGCTGGCTTGAAGGATTTATTATGGCAAAATGTCTGATATCTGCACAATTTTTTTTCTTCGGGTTTTAAATTTATTGTTTATTTAAATTTATTTGTAAAAATAACTAATCTGCAAGTCAGTCTGAATTAGTTGATGGGCCGGAGTTGGCCCGCTGTCTGCCAGTTGAATAGCGGTAAAATTAGCCTGCACAGTTAATTGAAATATTATCAAAATCGCAGAAGGTGCAATTTTTTGATTAGCATTATAATGAAGTACTGTAGTGCTGCAGAATGCCACTGCCTACACATCTTGTTCTCCAGATGTAAGAAAACATTGTTGGTATAGACCCCAAATGCCACATGATCATGATTTTAATAGCTAATAGTTAATAATCACAATATAATTTTTTTTACAATATCATGCAGTCCTATGTGAATCTCCCAAAGGCTGACACAGAGCTTCTGTGGTCAAAGACAAGCTGTGTCAGAGATAAAATGCCACAAGGTGACTGCTGCTGTTACCACTGTTTATAAACCAACTATCTGGAATACAGCAGGAAATGATTCACAATACACTGGCGGGCTAGTGTTATACTTGTGCTAATACTGCTACCAAGACTTTCTTTTACTCGCTCACAGTGATATGAAAAGAACTTAAGATTGATTTTATTGCACAGTGTATGTATTTTACTTTCACTTTCAAGTCTGTTGACCAGTGAAAATGTTTCTGGTCAGGGTGTGTTGTAGTGTTTTTGCCTACCTGTGTAATTGTTTCACAGGGCTCCCTACAGGTGGAGCCCTCTAATCTTTGCATCTTGCTACTCTACACTCTATAACTTCATTGATGACTAGTGAGGTCACATTACTCCTTATATACAGTAGACCTAGCGCAATGGGAGAATGTTGGATTTACCCTAATGGTCTCATTAAGTACAAGTCAATCTGAGTGAACTCTGTATGTGGCTGAGCCTTTAGAGCCTGTCAGTTTGCTCCACTTGTTCTTGTAGGGCTAGGGTTACAATGTTCACTCATGAATATCTTGAGAGTACATGAGCCATTACATATATCTGTACCTATCCTGTGAATATTTGCCAACTTAAGGATGTAAGTTCCTGCCCTATGTAGATTTTCACAACTGCTTTATGTATTAATAAGAAGACGTCACCTTTTAAAATGGTGGACGGACATTTGAATGAGAATTCAATGTTGACAACTCAGATATCATCATAATTTGGACCAAATGCTTTGCCTTTAAAATGGTGTAAAGATTATAATATAATTTGATGATGCCCATTATGATGATGGTGATATATGTGACTGAAGGTCTAATAATGAGAAGATCGTGACCAAAAAAGTAGAGGTATTTATCATTCATTTCACTCAGCTGAAAACATTAGATATACTCTGATATTTGTGAAGTTAATATAATAGACTGCAAAATTAAAGGATAGGAAAATGAAAATGTTGGCTGAATCATATTACAATTATCAAAATCTCAGGCAATATCTAGTCTAAAATTTTAGAATGTCAATATCAATCCATTTTATTTTATAATATGACATTTTAATTAAATTGATATCCAGTTCTAATCTGTGTCATCTTAAAAGTGCAAAAAGTCTCCTAACCCTAAGGGAAAATATGTAAACAGATTATATGTTAACTATTGCAGTGTATGGCAGACATCAGATCTCTTAAGTGTCAGCAACAATTCTTTTATTATCTATTATTTCTGTCTCAGAGTTGATCTTACCTTTACTACCATACCATCTATTAAATGTGCCCAGTGGTATGCCTTTTCATACTGATGGTGTCATTGTGGCACAGACTCGACTCTGAAACGATATCTTCTCCTGACCTACGCCTACAGTAATACATTAGAAATAACGCACTCAAAAAATTTCATCTTTCATACTCTCATATGACTAAAAGACCCTGATTTTCATACCTTATTCACCCACTCACACGCCTTCAGGTGGCCTATAGAGGATTCTGACAAGCTCCTTTTAAAGTAGAAATAACAAAGTTTCCTCTTAATGTGCAAGAATAATTTGCAACTGGATGCTCTATTTTAATTTTTTTTTCTTTTTGTTTCCAGAAGAAGCAGGCATCTAGTGTTGACCGGATCACACTGTATGGTTTGATGGTTAAGCCCATTCAACGATTCCCTCAGTTCATATTGCTCCTGCAGGTATAAAATTTTGTTTTTAAAGGGCTAGTCATTTCCTTTGTTTTAATGAAGTAAGTCTCTTCAAGTCTTGGTAGCTAAAACACTTCCAATATGAGAAACTAGAGTCAAATTAAAGATTCAGCACATACTCTAATAAAGATGCAAAGCTGCAAGGCCACAGAATTGATTATGGATTTTATCTTATCCAAAGTACAAGAAGTTGTACCTCACAAACTTTTACACTGGGGTTAGCTAGAGCTTGAAAAGCAGCTAGCCACATCAGTTTTTCATAGTGCTGGCTTTACATTCCGACTCTTCCACTTTCTATTCTGAGCAAAGATTTGGATTTGAGCTTGACTTGCTAGATCTACTGTAGCTAATTTCATCCCTCAGTAGGCATTGATTATCCATGAATTCAAAAGATAAGTTATGAATGTGAATCAGGCATTTTCTTCTAGCCTAAACTCAGTACTCCAAAGAGGAAGTGAATCATACATTACAGGGAACTAGAGCTCAAAGCACTAAGGTACATCTGAGATGCATATCAAGACAACACCAAGCTTCCACTGGGTCATAGGTTCCGTAAATATAGACATACAAGCCACAAAGTCTACAGTTAGACAGACTTTGATCATTTGGAGTTTAAAAATTGTTTTTAGTGGTTTGTTTTAGCCAACACTGCTTACAAAAGGTAGAACATGCAACACAATAAGCTGTACAGTTTACATAACCACTGGAAAGTCAGTGTGGTGTACACAGTTACCTAAATCCTTTAGAATCTGTGACAGTCCCACACCTAAACATAAAGAAAGTATTCAACTCAGATTTGAACTTATCAAGGCAAAGACAACACTCACGCTAGAACACATTATTTTGTTACAATTCAGTATATTGCAGGATACCAAGGAAAGTCTTAAATCATAAACAATTTGTACTTTTTACTTTTCTTTACTTTAAACTTTTCTTGTGACCTTTTTTAGGACATGCTTAAGAATACACCGAAGGGCCACGTGGATCGCCTGCCCCTGCAGCTTGCTCTGACAGAGCTGGAGATGCTGGCTGAGAAACTGAATGAACAGAAACGAGTAGCTGACCAGATTGCAGAGACTCAACAACTAGCCCGAAGCGTCAGTGATCGCCTGCTCAGTAAGGTGACTGAATACACGTGCACATGCGCGCGCACTTGCACATATGCCCCAATCAAATCAACTGTGAGCCAGACTCGGAGCCCTTTAACTCCTCTGCGTTGTTATCACTGTGAGCCAAACACCTATAAATTAAACTAGTATATAGCAGTTGCTTATATCACTATCCCACACATTAATCTAGGAAGGCATTTTTATTTAGAGAAATTATCTCCTAGAAATGATGCCCATTATCATCCCTAAACAGTACCAAATGCAATGGCAGAGGCGTTGCTTCTCCATTACCACACTGAAATTACCGTCCTGCCGCTGCAAATCTGAACAAATGCTGCTCTGAATAAGAAGAATTAGGGGGTAAATGAGACATTTAATTGGAAACTGTAAGAGAGCTATCTCTTTCACCCTGTCACTCTGCTCCTCTCTCTCTCCACTTTACCTCCCGTCTATTCCCCTCTTGCACTTCCCTGCTTATTCTCTTACTTTCTTACTCCACTTATACACTCTTTTCCTCTTTCTCTAGTGTGACTACATCTTACTCTGTCTTCTTCTCTCTCTCTCTCTCTCTCTCTCTCTCTCCCCCTCTCTTAATGTCTCTCTATCAGCCCTTGCTTTCCAGGACTCTGAGATGAGCTGATTCGGCCAATCTGCTCAACTCCACACAGAATTCCATTTGCTGCGGTGACACTGCAGAATTCCAATAGGAAACAGTCTCCTCTATTGCCCCCATAACCATCCAATGAAATATTCATTCTTTGTCTCAAAGTATCTAAGTCGCCGGAATAGGACAGATAACAATGTGAGAGAGACTAGGTTTCGCACACATTCACACAACACATGCAATCCCACTCACACATTCACATGGCATGGTGCAATGCCCTCTGTACCTACTGAAGCTTGAAAACTTTATGGGTGTATGCTTATAGCAGCGCACCTCTTGAGGGAGCTGTACGGTTTTGTGGCAATCAAATGGCAGTCCCACTCGGACTAATGAGTCATTTTGTGTGCTATCTGAGTTCAGCCAGAAGCTGCACTGCAGGATGTAGAATGGACACAGCAGCGAGATTCATTATTTCCTAAATATCTGCCTTTTGAACAAACACAAACATCAAAGGATCAGGATGTGAACTCCATATGTGGACGTAACCTGCTGCTTGCAGTATTGTGGCTTCACTTAAATTGTGATGAGCCTGGCTTAGATTGGTGCAGTATGCATACAACTAAAAGTACTGATTTAGGCAGTCATAAAAGAAGCTGGACCAAAGTGATAAAAGAACGCTTTCTGTTGCTATTTCCCTTTGCCAAACATATGGATGACTGGAAAGCACAGCATGTGCCAACATACTGTAACATAAATTGCATCTGTTATTGGATTCTTTAACTGTGTCTGTGTGTGTGTGGGTGTATTTGTGTAAAGGTGTGCATGCAACAAATTGTTCATGCATGTATATCTATTCGTAGTTGCCTTGTTGTGGTGGAAATGATTTTGTGTCCCCATGCTCATAAGCTAAGCCAGTTTGGACTCTGTAGCAGTGGTATGGTAGATAACATGGTACAAACAAAAAGCTAGAGAATGACCTGAAGCACGTGTTGAAAGTATTTATTTAAAAAGAAATGTTTGCAAGGCAAATGTGCATTCTCTCTTTCACTAAGTTTGCTTAATGAATAGGCTAGATATGTGTGTTTGTGTGTGTATGTGTGTGTGTGTGTGTGTGTGTGTGTGTGCCTTGTGTGTGTACATATACACACATTAAATGACCTTCAGCAGCATGAATTTGTTGCTAATCCCTGATGAGACATCTGTTCCTCCAAGCCTGACTTCTGTGTCCTCCAGGCACTGAACTCTGGAGGACTGGCCCTTTGTGATGCTGTCTTCTCCGCTTCTGATCTGATTGCTGTGTCCCTTTTAGCAACTGAACTCGGAGCAGGGGTCACTGGTCCTTTGTGAGACGCTTATTGAGACTGTGTATGGCGAGCGGGGACAAGTCCTAAAGTCGAAGGAGAGAAAGGTCTTCCTCTTTGATGATGTACTCATCTGTGCCAACATAAATGTCAAGTAAGTCCCTCTTGTGGAGCAAGTCGAGCTCAGTGCTCTTGCATTCAAAAAACTTTGCTAATTTGATCGTAATGTGTAGTTCTAGCATGAAGTTGTCTAAGCTTTGAAAGGAGAGTCTGCTAAACTGCTCAGTTAGGTGAAATAGCTATTAGGTGGCACAGGGCTCTTACGTGATGCCCTAGGTTTTGCAAGGATATTTTGGCAAACTGCATAGGAAAGAGAAATAGCTGCAAGGGGTTTTGAGCACTATCTGGAGTTGCAGGAGCTTTATCAGCTTTAAACAAATGGTAGAATGCCTAACTACAGCTACAGGAGTCTTAGATTACTGACATAAAACATTTTTTGGTTTCTTTCCAATTTATCTTATGTGACAGCACCATTGATCACATATCCCTCCCCCTACCCCCCACTCCACCACCACCTCCTTTCAAGAAGTAAACAGGAAAGGGATTTTGTATATTTTACAAACCTCCTGTCAAAGATGTCGCTTAAAGCCCTCTTCTTTAGCCTTCAAAGTAATTATCACTCTACATCTCATTCAACTTGATTGTCCCAAAGTTGACTTTGTCTACCCTCCAGGATCTTGAGAAACCGATCACAATGTTGATTGTCTGCGTGATTACTGGAATACATGAATAGCAATGAACTCCTCCTCATAGCCAGGGGTACAATTTTGGCGGGGAACATGGGTGATCATACAGATTTCTAATTCCCACATTTTTTCGTGACATTTTAAAGGCTGTCTTCTCCTATGGAGTGCTAGGTGTAGAGCTGTTAGCAAGATGCGGATAGGGAGGGATTTTCCCTCTGGTTTGTTTCCCTCTAAACTTCCTGCTCTAATTGTTTTTCTTCTTATCTCCACCAGGGGGCCTCCAGATATCAGCAGCCTGGTCCCTGTTGGCCCCAAATACACCATGAAGTGGAGCGCCCCCTTACAGCAGGTGCAAGTAGTAGAGGTGGGGCAGGAGGGCTCTCAAAGCAAAGACACCTTTTTCCAACAAAGCGGGGCCAAGCGGCCAGGTGGTGCATTTACAGCAGGTAAAAAACAAAAAAAATGCCAACCAGTCCTATCTCATTCCTTTCCCTAATGTGCCATCCTCTATGTAATCTCATCACTTGGACTGACTTTTATTCTCAGTCCCTTACTCTGACTCAGCAAAGCTGATCTGTTTCTGTTCTCAAGTGTCCCACGGAGGACTGGAGACGCATGCATGCTGCTTGTCACTCTGATTGAGGATGTGTTTGTGAGGAGGATAGTGATGACGGTCACTTGTTCCCATCTGCCTAGGGTCTTTTATCTTGGAGAGAGATGTGGGGGTAGAGAGCCCCCTGCCGCAGCATCCCCACAGTCTCATTTCATTCTCTGATAGAACACAAACACATCTAGAGTGGAATCATCAATCTGCAGAGATTATTCCCTCCCTTTCCAGGCCCAATTAGAGAGCCAGTAGAAGTAGATAGGAATCGGTGGTTGAAACACTAGTTCTCCCACCACCCCTCACTAAACTCGGGTGTATACAGAGCTTGACGAGATCCCTGATAAATGTGCCATGGGAAAAGGGAGATACAAAGCCTTATCAGGATGTAATGGTACAGGATTTTCAAAGTTGCAGCTCTATGACTTAAATAATAATGATGCCTTCCTCAGAGCTACCCGTGTCATGTTCAGCAAGTAGCTACTGCTTTGAGAGCTGGTCTAGATTCTCACTGGATTAAGTTGCTCGCTTTTGTGCAGGTAAAGTATACTCGTATACGCACAACTTTGCTGCAAGGTTTTGGGATCATTTAAGGTTAGCTCTCAATGCAGCTGTCTCCCTTCCTTTACCTGCTTCTAACTCTGAGAATGTTATGCCTCACAGAGGATGCTGTATTCTTACGCAGACATTCCCTCTTCTTTTTTTCACCTTTTCGACACGGAGTGGTCACCTTAATCATCCAGAAACCTCCCTGAACATCTGTGGGGTCCCAAATTTTCATTCAGACAGGCTGTCCAATCTATTTATAGTTTCATCCCCTGTGATGTCATTCAGTGGGGTGTCTAGTCTAAATCCTTCGTTCCCTCAGCATGGTTCAAAATTGAGTCATTTTTCATCTTCTGCAGACCCTGGTGCTACTCTTGATTGAAGAAAGCTGGCCTTTAGGGAAATGCTGGCCCATCTTGCTCCATCCCTTTGTCTGTGCCTATACCAGGCTGTCTCTTCGTCTGTCCCTAACAACACACAGAAAGCCGACCAATGTATGCACTCTTTTTGTGAAAGCCGAGTGTTCCAATTGTTTACCCTCATGCTGTCTTTCCTTCATTCTGCCCCCATTACACCCCCATTATTGCTGATTATTATTTGACTTGCTGTCATGAGTGCAGTTTTTTTTGTCAGATGTGTACCAGTGGGCTTTGGCTATGGACCAGACTAGGGTTTTCAATGCAGGTGTGGAAGCTGCATTGTCTTTAAATCCACTGGCTAGCGTCACTGGCACAGCAGCTGAGTGCCAAACTGCTGACTTATTCCAGAGAAAGAAGGGATGGACCCCTCTGGGCGCTTGCCTTCCACACCAGTCAGCTACGTGCCTGGCGGCTGGTGTGGATAGCCATGTCTGAGTGTGGAAACCATATCCTGCCTCACCAACGGGATTACGCTGGATTACAACTCAGCACATTCACCTCTCAGGCCGTAGCCAACTACAGGCCCTAGAGGACTCAAAAACCTGCTCAGGGGTCCAGGCAATCCCTTTGGAGAGGACAGGAAGACATTGTTCTTGCAACTCACAGCACACCCTTTTATATTCAGATGTCTTACCTATTGATTTCTTTGCACATATGACAGATGTTACTGGCTGCCTGTGACAAAGATCCCATTAAACCCCAAAAGCTACAATGGAGCTCTCGAATTGAATTGAACAATCCCAGCCTACCCCTCTCTTCTTCTCACTCCCTTTCCTTTTACGGCTTTACTCTCACTCCATTTATGCACGCGGATAGACAAAAGGCGGCATGTCCCATCAGTGGAGCATCCCTCACTAAGCCCGCCTACAGGCTCAGCTCTTCTGCTGCTTTATTATGTAGCAGGGGTGACAGTGCAGGACAGCTCTGGAGCAAAATCTACCTGCAGAATTTAATTAGGCAGTTCGCATGGAATCTGCTGCTGGGGAGATGTGGGCCAGGGGAGCTAGGACGTCGGATGGCAGACAGGAGGAGACACAGCTATTGATTTGCGGCAGTAAGAGAGAGAGACTTTGAAGGTAGCGGGCCTCAAATCGATGCTGAATTTTGCGTCTAATGAGACACCTGCATTGCTTTTGGCCAGAAAAAGGGCATCATAGCTCCAAATAACAGTTTTTCCATCTGATTTTTTTACTCATAAATTCACTCTCTGTAGTTCAACAAATAATGAAGATCGATCCATCTACACATTGAACCTCTTTTATTAGTGTCACTGGAGTTTCAGCAAAAGCAACTTTTCTTTCTGCACTTCCACTAGTTCTCTGAGGCAATGTCATTGTTTTCTCTGAGTGTGTAAAACACTGAACTGTATATTGCATGTCTACATCATATATATATATATATATATATATATATATATGTGTGTGTATATGTATGTGTGTGTGTATATGTATATATTTGTATAGGGATATGGTTTTATCCCTGTGTATCCAATACCTTTGTGTTTTGGACAGTTTTTCAAACAAAATAAGTAATTTGAAGAGATCACCTTGAGCTTTGTGAAATTGTAATGCCCATTTTTTCATTGTTATTTGACAAATTATAGGCTAAGTTACTTTTGTTGCATGCAATATGTTGGTGATATCACAAATTCTTAGGTTTTGTGTGTTGTCCACCTCTTAGGTAAAGTGATTCTTGGCCCTCCACGGCTTTACCAGGAGCTACAAGAACTGCAACATGACCTTTCTGTCGTGGAGGAGGTCACTCTTCTTGTGGGCACACTACAGGGGATGTATCAGGTACTTGTCACTTCATGTTACAGTTACACTGCACCTGTCTTACAGGGAAATGTGTATCATACAACATATATAATGCAACAGTCAATGGAAAGGCAAGATTTCATCCTTTTGTTTCCTCAGTCTAACTGACACTACAGGCCAAACACCACTACACAAGCTAGTCCTGTTCTCTCTCGGTTTTCTGACCTTCAAATGTGCTCTCCTCCAAAAACTGCTTTCAGTCTCACAAATTATTTATAAGCCAGTTATCTCAAGATATTGACTCATATGAAAATATGTGTATACATAATATATGAAAAATGGATGTATTCTGTAAACTGCAGCTTACTTTACAATAGCTCAGAAGCTCTGAGAACACTCCACAGAATCACAAAGACAGCCAAGACAAAACTGAAGTATGCACAGTTAATTTAAATTGTCGGATTGAGTGCAAACTAAGAGATCAAGTTTAGATGGTACAAGGATAACCATTTGGGGAAATCTCTTTCTGCTATTCCCCTCAAAGAAATTGCAAAATGATTCTAGATGTTTAAAATGGGATCAAAGAAAATACCCTACGCTTCTTGAATCATCAGTTTCTAAAAGCATGAAGTCTCTCCTCTATCTCCTTATCAACAGTGCCACAGTGGTGGTGTGAATGAGATGTTCTCTGATTAACTGCATGCAAGTGTCAGATTTGCTGTGTTGCAGAAGAAACCGGCAGCGTCCCTCCTGTAGCGTTCAAATCAGGACACTTCCCAGTAGTCTGCCACTAACACATTAACAGTACCATACACTACATAACACATCCAGGGAAGTATACTCCAGCAATCACCAAAGAGCCTCTCAGGCTAATGGTGGCACCTTTGCCTCTCTGCACTTAATGAGCACAATGTCCTCAGGAGGAGTGATATTGGCCTGGCACTAAATGACTGATTTTCACTTTCCACCCAGTTATAATATTGTCCACGGAACAAATAGATAAAATACTTCTGCACAGCTCATTGACTTTAGAAAATTGATTTGATTCTGTTTGACTTGGGGGACTAGGTTTGTACAATGGATGCTGGTGTTGAAGTAAATTCAGCGTTACATTTGAGGGGATAAAAATGCCACAACCATGTAGCTTCAAATAATGTACTGCAGTTTGATATGAGTGGATGTATGGTGGTTCGTGTGTAAGAATATCAAAATGTAAGTGCATCTACAGTATCCCCCTGTGGTCAGTATGCATGGAATGCGCTTGTATCTTTCATAGATGACCTATATGCTACAGCTTAGAAACAAGTTTTAACTGTGTGTTTTTCCATCAAAGAACCTGAACACCACTGTGGCCCAGGACTGGTGTCTGGCTCTGCAGAGGCTTATTCGCATCAAAGAAGAACAAATCCAGAGTGCTAACAAATGTCGCTTACGCCTGCAGGTGCCTGGCAGGCCAGACAAGTGAGTAGCATCTCACATACAGATGTGCTACAAGTAAAATATGCTGTATATGTTTGGGTATGAGAACATAAATGAACACAAAATCAGCAACAGCAACAATGCATCCTTTGTTGGTAACTGATTTAAAGAAGTAAAAAAGATTTTAATGATGATGATTACAAAAATAACAAGACAAACTGTCAAACTGGCTGTCACCCCCCCCTTTAGCTATATACTGTATCTTATCTGTATCTGTATATAACTTGCTTCTTTTAGATAGTTGATAGTAAAATGATAGTGGCACTAAATATAGTAGGAAAGAGAGGGATGGCTAAAAAAAACAGCACATTGTAATTACATATATGCACTTAGATCACTGGGCCAACAAGACATTCTAACCTTTTGTGAATAAGAGGCGAGAACAGTTTACTCTGTCATGAGAGGGTAATTACCTGACTCAAATAATTAATTTCCTTCAGTACTAGGATGGAATAATAATTTGCCTCCACGAAATGTTTCTTTTGCAGGATTTAATTGAGACCCTTTTGTGTGTCAGACTTTGTCTAACATTGGACCATAGTGCATAACTTTTCTCAGTTGCTCAACTAAGATCCATATTATTATTATTAGTTTGCGGTGTCTTTAAAAAAAAAATATCCAGCATTTGGGAATGTAGCATATGCTTCTATGCTACAGTACTATAATTGAACTCCTGGTTGTAAGGATACTCTAATGTAAAACACCTTTAGTTTTTATATTAGATTTTACAAGAGTTAATACACATAAGTAAATAGTGATATGTTAAGTTAATAACCTATAGGGTTTAGTTTGTAAATGTATGGCTTTTAAGTTCTTGCATTTCAACGATTACCACTAGTTTTACTTCATCAGACCAAACACAAAACAGCAGCAGTTGCTGAGCATATATGCAAGCCATAGCAGGTTACCTTGTCACACTAAGGGTGTTGAAGTGGTTGTCTTAACATGTCAAAGTAGATCCTGGAGGGTAGAGTGACTGCTAAATGACTGAAGGGCTACTTAGAGAAGAACAAAGATGGCAAGGAAAGAGCATATGAGTAGCTTATAGTACTGCACAAGAACTGGGAATAGCAAATAATGGCAGATTATAATGGATCCCATTTCGTGGCTTCTGGTGGGGATTGGATAAGAAAGAGGCAGGGGGAGGACAAAAAGAGAAAGATTGCGATAAAAAAGCCAGAGCCCCGCTGAAAGAGACTAAGCAGGAGAAGGAGAGGAAGAAAGGAAGAAAGAGTGAGAGAGATGATCGACCCCCCCAATGAAAGACTTGGCTCTCTGCCGGCAGGGCAGTGGCAGTCAGAAGAGTGGGCCTAATGCTTCAGAGCCAGAGAGAATCTAACTGTGCCAAGCCAAGCTAAAGTGACAGCTTGAGCAGCGGAGCTGTGCAGATCAGTTCTCCCACATCTCCCAGCTTCCTCGTCGGCTGTCACACCAGGCCTGCAGGGCCAATCTGCTTACTCAGATGTTTGGTGGAGCCAGATGTCATGCTTACAAGAGAGTCCCCGAATTCCCCTTCAAGGGGTACCCTATTTGCTGAGTTCTTGTGATAATGTCATTAGCAACTAATCTGACAAGGAGATTTCCCACCTCTACATATGTCCAAGCTGTAGATTTGTATTTAAAATTTAAATAATGTAGAGCTGCACTGGAATCATTCTTGGAGATGGCCACAGAGTTTATGTGGAGAGGTAAAATATAACAATGTCAGCTGAAAGAGAGAAATCTCCTATAGGGAAAAAGAGCCAATTCTGGTTGTGTGATAGCAATCTAATTGAAGCTGGGCCTCTGTGTCGGGTGGCTGGACCGGCAGTGAGCCTCGGGGCTGGGGGTGACAGGTGGCACAGCGGGTGCCCAAACCATTCTGACACTACCCAGGGTGCGGCAGTGGCAGATTGCAGGGGAGAACAGCGGGAAGACTGGCTCTGTCTCTGTCACAAACACACACACATACGTTGGTTTTCCCTTATTATCTGTCTATGTTTTGTTACTGAAATGAGTAACAATCTAGGGCACAACAATGCTTCCAGAGTATGAGCATGCTACATGTTTTTACACGTGCTTTCTGCTGATAAATGCACCTGCACACAAGAAGGAATGCAGCTAAGACAAAGAAGCAGACACATACACACTTGTGCGCAAAGCCGAGCCTTTGCTCTGCTGGTGAGAGAGTGGGACCACAGCAGGGACCCCCTGTACTGAGTTGGTCCCCTCCTGTCTGGCCGCAAGCAACTCTCTGCAGTCAGGCAGCACATCACAGCCTCCACTCTGCAAACAGAGTGAGGACGTGGAGAGAATCCTGACTGCTGCCTCAAAGGCACCAGCCTACGTGTGACAGCAGTTCATTAACATCCTCTTTTACTGCGTCTGCTGGAGCAACCACAGGCATAGATACATGGGGCCATACTGGCAAGCGACAGATAGAGTTCAAATTTCATACTTTAACCAAATGTGTTTCTTCAAATGTGTTACTTCATCCTCTATTTCAACTAGTATACACGAAGAAACATTATTGTAAGCCTGAAACCTCTTTTTTTCAAGGTCCCTTTTAAGACTACCTGCAAGGCGCATAGCAGATCTTGCATTCTTTCGGGCTTCATCTTTAGTTAGTTCTGGCTGAGAGTCTTGTCCAAACAGACATGCTCCCAAAGAGGCTCTGGAGAGTCGTTATGACTCGTCTCTGGTTGTTCCATGTGTATGAAGAGGGGTGTGCTGGCAGATAGAAGCATGAGATGGATCCCACAAAAATGGTTGGTCTTCCCATATTACAAATAAAAGATTATTTTTGCTTATCTCTAGTGGCATCTAGCCTTACAGATATTTTTTGTTTTAGTTGTCCAGACTATCCCCCTGTTCAATTTCAGCTTCCAATAAAATGGGGGTAAATAGAATTAAATTTGAGGCACTCAAATCTCTGTCCCCGTTACTCTGGATACTTGATGGACTATGTCCTCATCTAACTCTTAGAAAGACATCAAAATGTACTTCTCACAATGGTGGAATGTTCCTATAACATTTGTCGCATCCTTGTGCTTTAGTGAATTAATGGTATGTAAATAGCACTCCACCTCTGCACCCACCCCCACCCCAACCTTTGCTCCTCTGTTTTTAGCCTTATTTATGCAGGGGCAGCTTGCTGTTTTTTTCTTCTTGTTTTCACATTCACACATGTAGACACATTCACACCTGGAAGCGACCAGGAATAACCACAGTCCTCTACTTTTAGCCAATTATCAGGGCTGTGGGGCCGGGGCTGAAGGGCACCTACGGTACATTTTCTTTGGTCAGCTGTAGTGGTAGTTGCTGCTGCTTGAGTAGTCTAAACAAATTGGGGAAATGTGCTTAGCTCATTTACTGAGGTGGTATTTTATCTGGTCTTCACATACTGTTTACCCTAGATTCATTTTAACATAGAAAGTTTTTGTTATATGGTACATATACTCAGCTTTCGCCCCTTATACTTTATACCTCATGACTATATAAAAGAAGTGGACGTAGCCACCATGACTTCACCCATTGTTTGTGGACTACCAATTTTAAGCCACTTTGGCTGTCGCCGAGACAGGCATAGCTACGCCTCACAGGAAACAACCATTTAGTGCTGGAATTTGAACCAAGAAACTCCAGATCTTTGTTATTTTCAGGCAAATTTTGTACCACTTACAGAGAATCCTGTGTCTGTTTGTGTACAATCCTGTCACCTGTATAAATTATATTCAGTCTAAACCAAGCGAGAAGCTTCCGGTCAGCGATCTGATGCCAGCGTGGAAGTCCCTGAAACCTGCATTCTATTGAACAGCCAGCAGGGTGCGACTTTTCTGGTTGCAAAAAGAAGTCTGGCTCCATTAGAAATATGGCAAAATGACCCTACTTCTCACCTGAATAATTACCTTCAGTAAACACTTTCCTGTTAAGTTTATGGTCTCAATCGCTAGTTTCATGTCTTCTCCAATACAAAATGATGTTCATTTAGTAAATTATGGTCCCATTTATTTTAAAATAGACAGAGTATGCTTCAGGGCAGGATTACCTATGATTGACAAGTCGTTGCGCCATTGAAAAAGCTTATTTGGTGTTGGCTGTTCACTTTCTCTGGTGAATACATTTAGTTTTAAGACTGTTGTTTGCTAGACAAAATTGTCAGCCCTGTTAAAATGACAGTTAATAACAGATGTACCTAGCTAAGCAAGCTAGCTAGCTAGTTCTGCACATGGCCACGTCCAGTGCTGCTGGTTGCAAAAACTCAACATGGTGGCGGCCTATCGGCCAAACTCAAGGCTTCAAAATGGCAGTCCACAAACCAACGGGTGACGTCACGATGACTATGTCCACTTCTTATATACAGTCTAAGGTCTGAACCCAAGCTATTCAAAATCTGTTTACTTGAATGGGCAGAGGTTCTGATAGTCTAGTTGCACATCTGCCACTACAGTGGACGCTAGTGTGACATGCCATACACTACCAACCTCTGGTAAGCTGTTGTAAGTGCTACTTAAATTTGTCAAAACCAAGATGGCAGACGGACAATCAGAAACGCTGAGCAGCTCAGGTAAATCTTGCCACTCTTTCAATTATAGAAGACCCCTGCAGCTAAATAAAATTTGGTAACATCTAGTAACAGCTAATTTTAATTACTACCTCTCCAAGAATTGATTCTATGTTGGGAGGAAAATACAGAAATAGGAGAATCCCCAAATGCTAGCAGCAGTGATAGTGGAGCTGAAAAATGAAAATGTTAAAATATATGACCACATTGAGGATTAATACAAATTATGAATTTTAATAGTCAGACAATATTAATTCATATAGCTCTTGTTTCGCGGGACACCACCGGAGATTTAATTCATCCAGAGTCTCTGGATCTCTCGGTAGCGTTTTAATAATAATACAATTATTCGCTAGTGATCAGTTAGTTAATAATCGCTCAATTATCTTACATCAATCAGTCCGTCTCAAATTGAAGGGGTAAATTCTCGTTACAGGGA